TCCAATTAATATTTTTTTTTTTTAAATATTTCATCATAATTACAGATGCACATACAGAATTGTAAGTACCAAGAATTTTTAAAGTCCCAGGTTTCTCAATCGGAGTGTGTGAATATTTTTTTTCAATATTTTTGTGTCTTTGTACTGTGATAAAGAATGTTTGTATTGTTTTTCAGCATCACCATTCACAACAAAAACGAAAAATTAAAATTGTGGGTATACAGTCATGGATTTGCATTACATTCTAACTGAAATAAAAAATATTGTACTTCGTACTCAAAAATAAAAGAACTTTTATCTTGAATATCACTTATTCAATCTTTTTTCTTCTCGAAAAGTTTTGATATCATGCTATTGTGCATAATGTATGCCATTCTAATTTGGATTCATACAAATGTATCTTTTTGTGTGTAGCATATATAATTAACATATATGGCAATATCCCTTGTTATTCTTTCGGAAACACTCATTACATTATTTTCAGTAGTTATTTATCAAGGATGAATTGAAAGTGGAGTGATGAGAACAAAATACAAGACTCCTAATTCAATTACAGAAACTGAGCTGTATCTCGCAAATGTACATAAAATGGAACCGGTCTAGGTTTGATTGGTCTCTTGATGAAAAAACTAAACCCCAACGTGAGGTACATGGAAAGAAATCTACCGCCATCATTTTTCGAGTACATTTTGATGAGGTATCTAACACGGCGTCAAACATGCAACACACCAAAAACCAATTAGCTAACTGGATTCTTCATCATGTGTTACTGAAGCCGGTAATAGTGCACATCCTTTATTTATTCATGTACAGCAATTTGACACATCCCTTTGTTAATCTTGTCCCAACACTTCTGAGGATTTCTAGAACTAGGAGATCACACATTTCTCCGAACTAACGAAGGTATAGTCAATACCACACTTTCACCGTTCACTGCCAGAACAGGTCTCGACTAGGTCGGGATGGGCATATAATGTACAGTAAATGGAACGTTTAACAGTAAATCGCCCACAAACAATATCAACTTTATCCAAGAATTAAATATGCAGCATAGGATGGGCTTCACACATTTCCTCATCCCATACCTCCTATTACAGTGAACACAATCACACCGATGTAAATTTTTAACAGGAGATCTTTGTTTCTGAAATACTGTTCACCTGAGTTCTCTATTGTTCTGTACATACTTTATCAAATATGAATGAAATATTTCAAAAGAATTTGATTAAAAAGTAAATTTCAAACAGAAAAATAAACAGAAAAAAAAGCGCTTTTGTATTTATATCACATACAAATCTTTTTATCCTTCAAGTGACAGTAGCTTACTATATTATTATATAATAAGTATGTCAAATGACCAAAAATGTGATGTTGTGACCACTGTGGGGATTCCCCCACATATCTGTCATCAGACCAAAATGAAAATCTCTATATTTATGACCAGCAAAATAAAAATGGGGAGGCATTGAAGAAGAAGATAAATGGAAAAGACACAGTGAAACCTAGTTAAGTCAGTACTAACTTAAAACCAAGAATTATTTTTTTTTTCAAAAACAGTATCTTTTTTATTTTATTTTGTTTTCTGATCAGTTCCAAAATCAAAACTTTACAACTATGCAGGGAACAAAAGGAACCACCATTACCAAGTGGTTCATGGTGTCTGTATCAGTCACCTGGTTTTGGCTGTAATTGCTCTATCTAAACTAATGGAAAAGTAATTCTAAAGGTATATCTATTTCCCCATTGGGTCCCACCACTCTGCTCCAAGGGAGTCAGCCACAGCATTTAGTCTCCTTCATCCAAGCAAGAAGGGTTTCAAATATTTGCTTTATTTCCCCTAGTGGGTTCCACCATTCCCATCTCAGGAGTCAGCACAAAATTGACTTCTCTTTACCAAAGGGTGCTTCAGACCAAATTAGAATGGAATACAAGCATTATATTTATTAACATATTCATTTATAGTAATCATAATGCTTACGTGCCACGAACATATTTTGACTTATATTCATCTTCATAAACACTGCAAGTAGAGCACCTAAGGAGTCAAACACAGTTATGCATGACCACATGCCAAATTATCAGATTAATAAACAAAACCCAATGCAGCAACCAGAAAAACTTTAAAATTGTCAAAACCTAGATAGACTACCCCAACTTCAAATTTAGTAATTTCATATATCTGATAATTTTAGAACAACATCAAGCACAAACAAGCTTGCTGATAATAAAACTTGTTAACATGACACCTATAACAGACATTCTGATTCTATTGATGATGATCATGAGTAAAATATAATAAAAATGACCTGAAACATCTTGCAATGTTGCCAACTATCCCTTTATACCCATCAACCCATTCTGAATTTTAAACTAGCCTGAAAGCCAGAGTAAACTGTTCGACATGTCATGTTTTCAAACTTGTGGTTTTCACGAAGACTTGCTTTGAAACAACCACAAAGCTTACCCTTAAACACTGTTGAAAGGCATTCAGATATCAGTACACTCACTCAACCTGACTCAAGTTGTCATTACATAAACATAGGAACTTTTCTTGCAGTAATTAAGGGTAGTTTTAGTTTTGATGTAAGTACATCTATGATTTAGCTGTTAGTTTGATTCACTTTGAAGATGTGGCCATTTCAATTCTTGAGTAATTGTTTCCATAGCCAGCTAATATTAGCATCCCCTAGAAGACACTAAAGTACATTCAATGGGAGTTCATATAAAAAAATATGATTTGGAAATCAGGTCAAAATGAAGTTATTTAGAAAACTTTGCAACACAATGTGAATATGGTTCTTCTATGAAAACAGTAGCTCAATATAACATTCACAAAGTGTTGCCGAATCTGGAAGGAACAAATCCTGAAACATTTCAGAAGTTTCCCATGAGAAACATCCCATATCATTTAATAACCTTCAGAACCGAGATTTTACTTTAAAAGATTATTTGAAAATGAGGTCAGAACCAGTGGTAGCAGATACTACTTTTGCACTACTTCTGATACTGTTCCTACATGGAATAGAAATCTCATATAATATTTCTCTTCTAGACCTTAAAAAAGTAAATAATCAGATGTATAGCACTGCTTGTTATTACAATGCATGTAATCTAAAACTTTCTGAAATAAGCTTGCGATTTTTTTAATTGATTTGAAGAAATTGGAAGCAATGGAAATGTCTGTTTTACTTCCAAGGATATGAATATGAACTATCAACACTGCTACTAGCAGCTCAAACTGCCAGGTGCACAAAAATTGATTGAAATAATTTCAAGAAAAAAAAAACCCCACTGAAAATGTTGTTATCCGCATAACCATTGTTTTGCCCCTTTTCATCCTTGTCTTAGCTGGTACTGAGCATATATATTTGACTCTGACAAAAAGGTAACATTGATCTTTGTTTGTTTTTTATGTAACACTAAACCGGCTCAATCTGAATTCAAATTTAATACAAATATTGATATTCCAGTGGGAATTCTCTGGGATCAATAAATGACCCTATTCTCTCATTCTTTAGCAACTGAATTATACTTATATATAGTTACCAGTACACAGCGGTCTCTGAATATTTGGCTGCAGGGTTCCGCAATGCTATATTCATTGCATCACTCCATCAAAATACTCACCAGCTGATAAATATAATTTATTTGGGAAGAAGGAATTAATCAATTTTAGTTCAAGAAAAATTGTGAAAGAATTAGTTCCAATCTTGTTGATGGAACACAGTATTATACCTGTACTTGATTTACTCTGCATAAAAGTTAACTGTTAAATTGATTATAATCATACTTTTGACTTGACTTCACTTATGAATTAGCTTTACCCCTTGACTATAACACACATATGCTGCACTAAATAAACCTGCATTCAAGTGTTTCCATTAAGATAAGCATAGTTTAATACTTAAAATATTTTTCCCAACTGAGTGTCTTTGATTACATTATGCATTTGATTGATGTACTTCCTACAAAGGGACATTTGGGCATTGTCATTTGCTTATGTTTTGCATTTTTCCTGGTTAGAAATAAACCTCTGTTTTCTATCAGTATAATAAAATAGTTAAAGTTAAATAATATATGGATGCTATGCCCAGGTAAACCAGTGTCATACTTTCGTTTAACCATATGTCGACTACCACATGTCCTGAAAAGCTGTTAAACCTCTCATCATACTTCTGTTTTCTATCAATTTAATAAAATGATTAAAGTACAATAAATGTATGGGTTCTAGGAATTTATGTATACATAAGTAGCAAGTTCCTGGTTTCCCTAGACCTGTATTACTTCCCTTAAATGTTATGCCCAAGGAAACCAGTGTCATACTTTAGTTTAACTACATATCAACTACCACATGTCCTTAAAAGCTGCTGACCCTGTCAACATATATACATAATTAGTCCAACAGGTGCTGAAATGAGTCTATTGATCATGTCTATAGGATTTGAAGCATTGACATTCAAAACTCCATTTGTGTAATAGAGCTATTATACTACAAATAGCAGGAACTTTATATGTTTCTCATAATTCCTGCTATTTGCAATTACTGCGATTAAAAATGTATATATTCACACATCTTACCTTAACCTTAAGTTTGGAAGAAATATGATTTCTGCCAACAGTGAAGATGTTGAGACCTTAACAAATATGGATAAAGATGCATGCAGGGCTGGAAGGGTGTGTGTATTAGAAACAAATACAGACAGATCCATTTCAGAGGAAACACTAGTGCTAGTAATGGGAGATAAGTAGCATCACCTAGGTCTTTTTATACTTGGTACAATAGAATTATTTGTCATGAATTGATGGTCAACTTATAATGTCACAACAGCCGCTTGATGGTATCTTTACGGTGTCACATACCTCTCATGCAGTCCAAAATAAACGATGCTTGATGAATGACAACATCTTTGAAAGGTCGACCTTATTTACATCACGCTTTAAGTACCGTACCTGTCAATTCAGCATCAAATATATATTTAGTGGTGTCGTACAATAATTACCTGAAGGCATGATGCTTATATATTTGAGTCTTTTTCCTCATCAAAATTCCTTAAACGACGTCCTTCCCATGTAATACACCAAGACAGTTTTATGAATGAAAATGGCAGGAAATAAGATGTGTAGGCGGATATGTGACGTCATCGTAATTTGTCTTTTTCCATCTTTATCGTTAATAATTTGTAATTATAGTGATCGAAGTATTTCTTTGTCTGTTGTTTCTGAATAATGAGTTGAATACCGAAACGATGAAATATTTATTTAATATTATTTAGCAATAAGATTTACTGCGGAATGACACTGGCGCCAAAAACAATTTACAGCCTATTTTGCGGGAACACCAAGATGCCTACAGTCCAACCTCTCCGATATGCACACAGCGATGGGCATACGGATGTGTGCTTTGACGACAGTGGAAAGTATGATTTGGTGCCAGTCTTGTCCCATACATATTTTGCACATTCTTGATAGTTTTGATTATGTTCCCGGCGAATTCCTGCTGTTGTTATATTTTGTTTACATTTGCATTTTGGGGAGGTAGGCTAGATTTTCTCAAAGGAATCGATCATTCTATGAAACGTTCGATTTCCGTTATTTTATCATTAAATTCCGAAACCAATAAAGAAAAAAGCGTAATATTCAAACAAATGACATTCTTATAACCCCAGGCCCACAACCATAATTATGTATCTTTATGCACAGGCGCCTGCAGGCGTGTTTCTGGATATAAACAACTTTAGCAAAACCCCAGTCCACCGTGTGTATGTTGCATAGTGGACCGGATTTTTTTCTCGAGTTGTCTACGTTCCGGATAAAGATGTCTACAGGATTAGTTTTACGATAAATTTATTAATTCTAAAGTTTTATGTTGTTGAAGGTGAATTATTCATTCAACAATGATATAATTATTTGGTTTTGCTTGTATTCTTGTCATATTTTTGTAGAGTTGTGTCGAAAAAATTAAATATACAGTGTTTTCCCTAAGAGCCACCAGCCAGCTGATTTGTCTGCCTAAAACGCCAAATTTGCTGGTTGAATTTATAAAGTTGAAGGAAAAAAAACATTTACCGAAACAAAATTTCCCACAGTAAAGTCGTTATCCGTCCAATGGTTACCGTAATTTACACAATCGTATGATTATAACATGTGAATGTCAGAGTTACATGTGTCATGATTGATTTTAGCATGTAGTCAAGTTTACGACAACGCATGAATAGCGACTTTGTGTGTGCAGTATTTGAAAGCGTTTTATTGATTCTGTTTAGTCTGTAGGCAAATTACAACATTGCTTTAATGAAACGACCTATGTATGAATAAACAACACCATGAGTAAGCACAGCTTACCTCTGCAAGTCCAAACAACAATTTCTGTAAAGGTAGTAGATATTGTTATATTTGAGAATGCATGCTTGGTAATTCACTGATACAGAGTTATACTCAAAAACACTATTGCCATGCAAACCTTACCATATCTGGTTTTATTGGAGATGTTTATTTAATGTTATTATGAAGTTTTCAATGAATTCTTCCATCACCACAAAGTACAAAAATTTAATGCTTCTGAGCCTTCAGTTTGTCATCTGAAGTCTGTGATTTTATTCTAAAAAACATCAATATCAACCTTCCAGAGGCCCCGAATTGCCTTCAAAAACCCTGTCGGTCAGACTTGTCAATCTGCCTCCTGCTTCAAATCTTTGGGAAAACACTGCATATACTCAGCCTAATAAAAGTAGGATAACATATATAGCCATTTACAGTATGAAGGTGTCTGTACTGTCACAAAGTTAGATTTAATTGTGATTTTTTTTTTTAGACACTTTGTAATTAATTTTTACATAACCATAATGCTGCCAATACCACTTCTTTTGCCTTTTCAGTTGGAAACAATATGAAAAATACCACTACCTTCCTCCATATTGTTTATCAAATTGGGTCATTTTAAGGATGGGTACAAAAGTAAACCTGCCTTGTAGTTAAAGACATTGCTCCTTTAAACATATACTTTGTAGATTTAACAAGATCATATTGGAAACAATTACAATATGACACTTATTTAAGATATATACTCTTATGAAAGTAACCACATGTGGTTAAATTTCTATTTCTATGTAGTTAATTGTGCCATTCTTGTATTTAACACTATCCCTCAATTGAGGTCTCGTAGCTATAGACACTTTCATATATAAATGAAGGCTGTATATATCCAGACATTTGGCAATAACTCAGTAAAAATTCTTGCTCTGAAGCAGCATTTTTGTTGAGTTAAAAATAGTACCATTAACAATTTATAGTTGAACAAGTTATCTCAATAGTTATTGACTTTGAAACATGGTTTCAAGTGCAAAGCTGTTGCAACACATCGATGAGTCAACCTATCCTTTCACAACTAGAGTTATGTAATATTCAAATGATGAATAATTCATGATTGCATTGTATGTTTTGATTATATTTTCAAGGCATATACTGACATGTGGAACAGATGGAGATGTACGTGTTTGGGCTGGCATAGAGGATGATGATGCAATCTCTCACAGGGTTGGTGACCGTGTCTATGGTATTGTATACAAGGTAGGGTTTAGGGAGATCTGTATCACTGCAATATGTTTAAATTCAACTGACGAAATCAATAACAGACTATACAATTAGTACATACATGGGATAATTTACTATTGACAACCAAATGTAAGATATACAGAATAACATTTATCTAACAGTTTCCACTGTTTAAACCTATATTTGTAGACTTTTTTCTATTGTGCCCAAATGTCATCAGTTTCTTCGTTAATGAATAAATACTTGAAAGTTTAAAAAAAAAAAAATACAATGATTAATTTTTTCATCATTTTCTCTTTAAAATAAACAAAAAGATATGTATTTTAAATGATTTTTTATACCTACAACTTCATGTCACACTGAAATTCTTGATTAATTGTTTACTTATTACATCTTTGAAAATAAATACTTTACATTACAAATTAAAGAGATGCTTAATCCTTGGTATTTAGATGAGATGTAAACTTGTTTTCTCTAGAGTGGCAGATTCTTTACATCCTCGGACACCAACACCATTCAGGCTCATACCTTCCCAGATGGGGGACCCGATGGCATCTTGACGCGATTCACTGCTCCAGTCAATCACATGGTTGTAAATCGGTCCGGCAAGACCATGGTTGCCTGCTCAAGGTACAAGATCTGAGGGATTGATATCCATGTACATAAATAGAAAATGATGGTACAGGTCCTTACTAGCCATGGCTTGTGGAAATGTCCCTGTAGTCGAGCAGTATCAGTGTTATGTTTTCCCTCTGAACATAAGCAGAATCCCTGTCAAGAAAATCTATTGAAAACACGGGGAAATTTCCCTAAAATTCCAGTATTAAAACTTTTTCAAAGGCTTGATTTTAGTATGTAATTTAAAAGCAATATGTTTCTGCACATCCGTTTTCGATACCGTCATTAAGGGACGTGGAACTGGAAATAATTCATTTTCACATATTATTTATTTTTTCCTAAGTAACAGACATTCTGTTTTTTTTTTTCACAGCAACCTTTTTTAAGATAGATTTTTGTCATTCATTAAAAGTTAAAAGAATATTTTTTGACATTAAGAAAAAAATATGTGAAATGCTAAATTTTTAGTTGAGTTAACAAGCTTAAAAATGCAGAGCAACCAAAATAGAAAATGTTGAAAAATTGATGTGTCAAGAAGGGAGTGCATATTATACGCAGGAACATGCCTTTCTAGGGGTTATCATTCTCGAGTTCTCTGTCCGCCATATTGGATTATCTCTCTTCACATAAGTATATTTAGAGTTGTCGGTCATATACGATAGACTGAAGATAAAAAAAACAAAGAATGAAATGACTTTTGAATGATGTAATGCAATTCATTATATATATATATAACAACTTACAACTAATAAATACTTGGAGCACTAAGTAGAAAGCAGTTCATAACACTGAAGTTACTATCACCTGTTTTAATGGGAATGAAGTAGGCTTGCAGATTTTCAGACTTAAAACAACATTGTTTTCTGACCAATATCACACATTCAGCCTAAGCCTGGTGTCATCAATCTCCTCATACTAAATGTGTTGCCTGTTAATAACCTTTAATTATCCAATTAACCTAGCCTTCCATGCTTGTTATGTCAGGCACCTGCGTGAATTTGTTTATTATTTACAATTCATTGTGTTAGGGTCACGCTTATTGAGGTTTCCTTATTATCAATGGATCAAAACATCAACTGTTGCACTGCAGTAACCAGTAATCAATATTTATTTATATATCCTTTTTTTTTTAAATCTTACTCCAACCGAGTACGCACTTTACCCACAAATTTACAGTATTTATGTTTTTTCAGACTTAATGCTTTCATAGAGAGATGCTGAAGGATATTTTTAATGATTTAAAAAGAGTAGGTCACCATACTTTCAGTTTTGCAATTTTTCACCAAAATAGCTGGATTTTCCAGGATTGAAAAACAAGCTGCAGGTCTTAAAATTGGGGGCAAAGTGATCCACAAAGTGGCAATTCAAGAATTTGAAAAATCAGATTTGTGGTGATAATTCATGCAAAATTTAGTTGAAATCTACTCAAGACTTTCAGATTTACACTGAAGAGAAAAACCTTAACAAGGAGAAAACGTTGAAATTGTTGACATAGTTGACAGAATTTGGCCATAAACTGTTGTCACAATAATTGTAGTCCACAAGGGGTATTTCCTCAGAACCTCATATGAAGTGCCCTAATTCCGTTTTATAAGGACAACTACAGATAGTTATAAGAGTTGTGAGATTGGCATTGGAGATTGACTAGATATCACTTTCATTTCCAGTGATTTCACTATTAAGTCAGTAGAGGTAGACACGTGTAGCCATAAAACTATGCAAGGTCATGAAGCTCCAGTTCTCAGTGTAGCCCTGGACCCAAAGGAGGAGTTTGTGGTAAGTACTGCATTGTATACCATTCAATTTTAGAATCCATAATTTTGAGGGGGAGGGGATTTGAAAAATGATAAAAATAGACTTTATGACAAGTGGAGGGGTGGGGAATAAAAACTCACTGATGGTTTCAGTGACTTTATGTTCTTCAGTGTTCTATACTGCCTTTCATCTAATGATATTCTGCTCTATAAAAGCATTCTTTATTTATTTATTGAACAGGTTTTACGTCCACTAGTTTGGTCTTTCAGGGGACGATGTAAAAGCATTAATAATGACAGCTGATATATACTTTACTTGAATTCATTCTATCCCCAGGCCTCATCTAGCTGTGATGGTACTGTCCGGATATGGCAACACAGTGACCATTCTCAAGTCACATCAATGGGTATTCTTCCCAAGACAAATGATGTCAGGTAAATTTTAAAGCTATGATGATGGGTTAGATGAGAAAAAACGATGTCAGGTAAACTTTAACCAAATGACAACTGGTAAAATTAAACTAAATAAAGGCTGGTAAAAACTAAAAATCTTATGTTATGTAAAATCAAAATAAATCATGTGAGGTAAAATCAAACAAGCCGTGTCAGGTTAAGTAAAAACTGATGTCACATAGAATCAAAACAAATGATGTCACATAAAATCAAAACAAATGATGTCAGATTAGATCAACTGAACAATGTCAGTTACCATATTCTCTGGTTGATAAGTTGCACTGGTAAGTCGCAGAGCTAATGCTTGATGATTTTTCTGACATGATCCACATGTTAGCCACACAGGAATATAAGACACACCCTCTCTAACGACATGGTAAACATGTGGACCAAAGTTTGTTGATAAAACAGAAAGCAGAAGGCAATTGATCAAGATCCTCAGTCAAACATATGAAAAAGTTTGCAAGTGAATTATACACATATAATCCTTTATTTTGTTGTTGTATTTTAAAAATTTTCTGATCTTACAAAAATGATAAAATAGCAAATATTGAATTGGTTTGGCTTTGTGGCCTTTAAAGTTTGTCTACGCACAAATATAAGGCCTGACATTACATATGGTTTACTAAACAATTTTGTTCCAACAACTCCTAAACCACTGGATTGATTTCAATGAAACTACACAGAAATGTTTGTGACCATGTGTAGATGTGCATGCAACCTCCCCCCCCCCAGCAAAAAAATTGGTTGCCATGGTAACCAGTCAATATGAATAGGATTTTGTGTGAACATTTTGTCTGGACAAGTTCTCCGAAACTTATGTATCAGTTTCATTTAAGATAGGATCAAAAAAGGATGTCATTTAGTGTTCATATCCCATTGCCCAGTGGTTTGAAGGATGTTTAACCATCCTTTAAGAAAAAAAAAACTGCAAGAAGATCAGCTGATTATGGATATTTTGAAAAAAATAACTTGAAGAGAAATGACTGACATCTCTTATGTGCAGTCTGAACTATCTTGGGATTGATTTTCTAAGAACATTTTTATAACTTTCAAGGTTATTGTAAGAATACTTAATAATAAGAAGGCTACCTCTAATGAACTTTGCAATTAGTTTCAGATTGTTCTAAATGCTTTAAAATTTGGTTTCAGTTTATCAAAAACCTTGTGTCGGTTATGCTGGGACTTGAAAGGAGAGGTATGTATTTCCCATTTCAAGATGTATTCATTTATATCTGCCCTCTAATTCATCACTAAGTTTATTTGATTTTTCTTTTCTAATTGGTTGATGAAAAATCTAATGAAAAATTGCAATGTGTTATGAATTTTTTTACATATATGTTTCGTATCTTTAACATAGTAGAACACCTTATGGCTCAGTGAGCCTTCAACAGTGTAATAATGGAAGTCCCCTAAAAACCGGGAAGTGGGGGGGAATATTGTGACCATTCTTGAAGGTCAGAAGAGTACCTTTAAGCAAGGCAAATGATTATCAAAGAACAGTTTTTAAACACCCATCCAAAGGTAGATTATTTTAATGTTAGCAGTTGGATGGGTAGGTGGGTACACACAGTGTCCGCTTGATAAATTACATAGTTTTCAACAGTTCAACTTCAAACATCATAGGAAGCTTCATTACCATGATAGCTTGAACAAATTGATCACTTTAATTTTAAAACCATTAAGTTATGACCCCCTATTCAATTACTGAAACATTGTCCACTGGATAATGCACATAGATTTCAACTGATCAACTTCAAACTTCATAGGGAAGATCATCACCATTATTATTTTCCTTTGCTGTTGAAAAATGCTTATTTGACCTATGAGGATTGTATCATGTACTGCCTCACATTAACTACATTAAGTTGGAAGTGACATTAAAAATGTGATAGAAGAATAGATTATGATGTCATCAGTTAGTTACTCATGAAGAAACCCCCCAAAAATTTGTTTGGTTTCAAATGTGAGGATATACTTTTAAATAAAATTTAAAGCATAGGAATGCTGTTAAGTTAATTATAAACCAGTTTCTCTAATGGTTTAGCAAATTAATCTAGTAGTACTATGCAGGCTAACAAGTGAGCATAGTGAATCTGTCTGAAAATTAGGTTTGTAATAGATAGGATATCTGCATAAACAAAATTTGAACAAGGGTTCTTGATAAAGAAGTTATTCTTGCACCCCAAAATGTTTCATTTCGGATGTCTTGGTAATGTTTATCTGAAGAATAGAATTTAATAAGATCTGGTAGTTAAGTTAAAGACAAGGGTATTGAAAGTTGTAGAGTTCTGATAATGTGGTATTAATAAGAGTTCTGTGTATTTAATAATGTGTTACCATCATCAATTTGAACTTGTTGCACTAAAATTACAGAAATACTGGTATGTCATTTGAATGTCATTGAATTTTTTATATTGCAGAACCTATTTGTTCCTGTAGAAAAGGAAATCCATATTTATGAAAGATCAAGCTGGAAGAAAATCGGAGTCTTTCAAGATGAAGATGTTGCGGGTGTAAGTCTATTAAACAGATTATGATTAAAAAAAGAACCTACCAAGTTTAGCTAAATATGACAAATGAGGTAATGATGGTAGTGGTAGTGATGTAAATAGCCCTCACCAGTAAATAAGGGAGGCTTCTAGTGTTGCCCATGTCCATGTCCCGTCACATCCCGATTCAATGTAAGCATCTAGCAGCTTCATTCTTTGACAGATATTGGTCAAACTTTAAACAAAGATCAATTATGAGTATACTTTGGACGTCCTAGTATTTCAGAGGCCCAAGGTCAAGGCTAAGGTCACAATTGTGATTTATAGAAAATCATCAGCTGATTCAATTTTAATACAAAGCAACTTCATTCTTTCATGAAATATGGTCGAACTTTTGCTAAGATCAGATATGAGTATACTTTTGATATTGTTGTGTTTCAGGGGTCTAAGGTCAAGACCTTGGTGGTGGGGGCATTTATTTTCTAGTTTTTAATATTCTTCAAAAATTAAAAGAGGAAAAAAAATAACGTTTTGGATGTGGTACTTTTATATGTGAGCAGGTGCTATCCATCCTGACTCTGTCTCCTGATGGCAAGTTTCTGGCGGTAGGATCCTCAGAAGGAAGCATCCTGGTATTGGATGTCAAGACAAGGAAGTGTGTGGATAGGTAAATATAAAATTCATCCAGAGTATGTGTAGGATTGTCAAATTGAGAAATTCTATAATGTCTCACAAAATATCTTTCTAAAATTTATGGTCTTACTCCACTGGAAGAAGCAGAGAAAAAAAGGTTTTTATGTCGATACAAAACCATTGCATCTTAAAAATATCTTTTCACAGGTATAAACATCCAAAGAAATTTTCTGTGACTGCTCTGGCTTGGAATCCTAAAAAGACATCAGAGCTTGCATTTTGTGATAAAGAGGTATGTAAGCTATATTGTTAGCACAAATCAAGGAATAACAGTAGTAAGCATGTAATCAGGTTATACAAAGAATGATCAGTCATGCAAATTTATGGATTGATTATGTCATTCTAATTTATGAAAATTTCTTCTTTTTTTTTGTTTTAAATTGTCCAGTGTAAAGTAGAACTTGTAATATTAAAAATGTAATTGCTGTAAATGGAGTAACTGACCTGTTTTTGCACTACTTTAAGGTAGTAACTGAGAATAAAATAGTCTTAGGATGTTGATTAAAGACGTAGGTTTGTAACTTGGAATTTTAATGTTATTTTGATGTGACAGGGCCAGCTGGGAGTGTTGGAGGACATCAAGCTGTCATTAGATGCACAGGTTTGTGTCCATTTCTTATATTTCTAAAACTCTTTTGACTAGCTACATGTCTCTCTTTGTCTTTAGTGTATAATACAGGTTTTAGTAAATATCTGTCAGATTAATGATGAAAATAAGCAGTTTTATTTAAGCACTGTTGATAACAAAATACAAGAAAGGTGTGCATGTAGAATGTTTCCATGTGAAAAGATAAGGTGGGGAAAGATACTCTTATTATATTTATTACAGTAAAACTTCTACTGTACTTGACCTTAGAACTTCAAAATAAATCACTTAAATCCATGGTTTCGTTTCCTGCTTATTACTTCTAAGCAAATAAGCAATAAGATTCTAGGGGTTGTATCTCTAAATAAATGAAATCTGGAGTTCTGGGGTGGGATAGATGTTTCACTGGAATATCCCTTAGGTCAAATACATTGTTGAAGTCTTGCTAATTTTTGACCTGTCAGCAGATGTCAAATTTCATTTCAAGGTTCACATTAGTCAAATTTCTGATGAAGGTTCACCTTAGTCAAATTTCTTATGAAGGTTCACCTTAGTCAAATTTTTTATGAAGGTTCACCTTAGTCAAATTTCTTACGAAGGTTCACCTTAGTCAAATTTCATTTGTAGGTTTCTCTTAGTTCATAGTTTTCATTTTCCATTTTGATCACAATAAAATGGCTGACAGGTAATGATCTTGATTTTGACAGTCTTAGTTTGTGATCGCTATTTCTGAAGAAGCACTTCATGAATCATTCTCAAATTTCATATGTATGAATTTCTTGGTCTATAGTTGCGCAAAGTCCATTTTGCAACTGATCAGAAAAATAAGATGGGTGACCATCCTGGATTTTGCCAATCATAGTTTGATATTGTTTTTTACTGGATTGATCATTCTCAGATTTTATATGAAGGTTCAGCCTAATAGCCCCATGTTAAGCATTGTCTATTTTGGAGTTGATACCAAAAATTCAAGATGACCAACAGATGGGCATTTTGAATTTGAAAATGAGTGTTTGTTTCCACTATTTTCCTGAAAAGTGCAATATGGAACTTTCTCATACATAGGTGTCCATTGCTCTGTAGTTGTGCCCTTTTGATTTTTTGAATGATCAAAAGAAATGGCTAACATATAGCCATCTTGATTTTGACAATGAAAGTTTTTTTATACCGATATCTTGAAGTATTAGATGGAGCTTTCTCAAATTTCTTATCTAGGTTCTCTATGTCCCTAATTGTGCCCTTTTGATTTTGGGGACTGATCCAATCAAGAAAACGGCTGACAAGACGACCATCTTAGATTTAGAAGCTATCAATTATCATTATTGCTTAGAGGCATTTATAAATGTCATAATCAAGAGCAAAAAAGGAAGAAAAAAGGGAGAATATCCAACTTTTATAGAACAAAAAAATTCAAATCAACAAATAAAGACTCAACTATGCTGAGCACTAAGATCCATCAGGGATCTTACGTTCAATGATATGGCCAATTTAAATTTCTAAACTGATCTTTTCTCTCACATTTTATAGCATACTGATACTGATTTATTAAATTTGAAGTGACCAGTCCGATTTTAAAAATTAAACTTTTCAATTACAACTGAATATCATTAAAGATAGACAGTATTTCAAAATGATGACATAAGACAATTGCACTACTCATTAAATCTTGTAATGCTTGGTTGCAGAAGAGTATTCCAGTACAAGAAACACGAGCTAAAGAGACCCTTGGAATATTTGATGACGATGATGACAATGATATGCTGATACAGGCTACAAACGATGAGGGGAATATGGGAATGGAGACTGGTGCAGATAACTCAGATGATGACCAGATGCCAATAATTAAACCCTTAGGAGATATTGATGGTAACTATAACCAATAGGATGCTGTGTACTGTAACATCATGTATCCATGGTGATTTTAGAGGGATAAAAACAGATATTAATTTCAACATCTGCTATCAAAAATACAGACAGAAGTAAATGTAAGAATCCTCCAGGAAAGAAGATACCACAGAATGTACAAAATACTTTTAAGTAAGTTTAGAATTCCATTATACCAGTTTAGTCCTATAAAATTTACCTATACAATTTTGATTATAGTATGTTAAATACAGCTGTACATATTACTTCACGTCCTAAGAGTCATGTTTATAAAGGTATTTTGTCATTGCTGAAATTTTGTTTCATATCTGTAAATTACCATAAGCTGTCTTCAAATTTCACCAACTTGTATTGAAATTACTCCATCAGCAGCACTTTGTAAGCTGCCTATTTGCTTCCCAGTTTTTATATCAAACATAATGACAGTGTTCAGTGACCTATAAGATGAGTGTTGACTTTATGAAATACTTTGAGGAATACTTTGGTTTTTGTATTAGATGACGATACTATGTCCAAGAAGTCTGACCAAGATGATGGTGCTAGTGTCATATCGGATGCTCCCCTGGTGCTGCCACCTGCTCCTGTTGTAGTAGAGGGATATAAGCCCACACCACTCCAGAACCCATTTCAGCCAGGGAGTACGCCAGTTCATCTCTCTAGCAGGTTTATGGTATGTATTACAGAGTAGTTGTCACTGAAACTGTTTCACAGACAATTTTATGACCTTGCCTCCCTGTCCTGTTTGATGAGAGGATTTGGAGGGAGCATAAAGTGTTATTCCTGTCCACTTACAAATTAGTGATATATCTTGAGAAACCCATAATCATACAGACACACAAAACAGATACAAGAAACAGGGAAATACCTGTTTTAAATTTTCCTTTTTTGAGTTGACCTACGGCCGCGTACAGTAATTAGTCTGTTTGTTCGTCAGTGCATCAGAAATATTGTCTCTGAAGATTTTCTGAGAATCCTGATACCCAAAATATTAGAAAATTTTAATAGAAAGCAATGTTGTGTTAAAAAGATGTCCAATAGTTTCACTTTTTGCCAATTTAATGTTCTTATATAAAGATGACATAGTATAAAAAAAGTTCTGTTCAAATTTTACTCACTGTTAGAGTCAGTCACACATCCGAGTCCTTAAAGATAGAAACATTTATGAATACAAAATTTGAACTTACTTTGACTTGTAATATAATTTGGATTTCTCATCTGATTTCTGCCCAGATTTGGAACTCCATTGGCATTATAAAGCAGTACAACACAGAAGAGGAGAATAGCATTGATATAGAGTTCCACAACACATCAATTCATCATGCCATGCACATCAGCAACACCAATAATAATTACACATTGGCTGACATGTCTACTGAGGCTGTCATTCTTGCTGCTGAGAGTGATGATGACAACCCCAGCAAACTCACATGCATGCATTTTGGGTCATGGGACAGCTGCAAGGAGTGGACCACGGTGATGCCTGAGGGGGAAGAAATAATGGTAGGTATTTGTTTTGAAATTTCACTGTAATACCTCAGGTATATTGATATACTAAGAAATCATTGTGTGACCACCTTTTGTGCAGTAAATTCATATTTAGAAAAAACAGTTCGTTATCTTTGCTCTGCTACATCATGTTGAACACAATGGTCATTAGAACTTCCCTGATAATGTGTTGAAAATGCTACTACAGTTTAAAACATGATATGGAATTTCATTTTAGATGTTACTTCATATAATGAAATGCAAACTTTTTTCTCTGGGCAAAATGGAAATTTATTTTGAAAGAAAATAAAGTTTTAAAGATGTTCATTTGTATTTTGATTAAAGTAAGAAACACAGATGTTTGTGTCCTGTAGGCTGTAACATTAGGTGAGGATTGGATAGCTGTAGCTACTGACAAGAGAAATATCAGACTTTTCAGTCTTGGGGGCATTCAGCGGGAAGTATTCTCCATACCAGGTCCTGTAGTGTGTATGTCTGGCCACACCAATCAGCTTCTGCTAGTGTATCACAGGGGCATGGGTAAGTCTCCCTCTTCCTTAAAGCTTTGAAAATTATTTGAATGATTATTTCATAAAGTATTTATCCAAAGGAATTGAGATGAAGAAATTGAAACCTTTTTGAAGAAAAATTACTGACTTTTCCAAACTTGATTACATGATGAAAAAAATATGTGTTTACATATATACAATTGCACAGTCTTTATTTGTACTAGTATTTCCTCTCAGCACAAGCCTAATCTGTGAGTGTAATAAGTATGACTAATAGATTGTAAATATCTTGGATTTCCATGTCTGTTATGGATTTGTGGAAGGACTTAATTATAAGAAAGCATATTGAACTTTCTATGAATGTGATTTTAAAGAGCAAATTGTTTAAGAAGAAAAAATATAGGTCATTGATAAAGATGAAATGTGAAATTTCCTTTCATAACTCAAATTTTATGTGTTTGTTCAATGATCTCAGTTGGTCTGTTCGTGGTTTGTAGCCATTCCTGGTGACCAATGTCTCGGTGTGACTTTGATGTATGTGGAAGGAAAGCAGAACACTGTACTTGGAGGACAGCCCCTGCCTCTCTCACCAAAGACAGCTCTGGCTTGGACTGGGTATAGAACAGCTTAATAATGTGTGATATGTACACAGATCAGATGACTCATTATTTCTCGAAATGTTGTAGTTCATATCACCATTTATCAACTGGCTCCTTCTTTAATGTACTGTATAAGAGACAAACACATTCCATAATTTGAACTTATGTGTCTTTTTATCTTTCAGTTTTTCAGCTGAGGGGACTCCTTTCTACATGGAGTCTTCTGGCATTGTTAGGATGCTAAACCGGAAATTTGGTCCCAGTTGGATTCATGTGGCTAACACCAAATCACATGTATGTATCTTATCCTGTAGGCATTACCTGTAGTTTTTGTGATGTAGTCATCCTATTTGAGGATGATGTGATACTGAGATACTACAAGACATGTGAAAGTTATTCTTTCCTGGTGCATACTTTCATGCATATATATATATATATATATATATATATCATCTTGGTATTGGTATTTTTGGATCCAACACGCATTCATCCTAAGTTTAAAATGAATGTCAGATCTTGAGATCCTCTCTCAACAGATTTAGTTAATATAAACATTTAGATGGGATTATATAATCAAGTTCTACACGTGATCAGATTCTTGTTTGCATATGAGTGTAACCTGGACGAGCGCGACTTACATAGAATGGCACAAACACATAATATACAATATATACAAGTTTAATACACTATATACACGTTATAAATTGTACACACAAATGTAAATATGTACAACTCACTCACTCATTCAAGACACACACACTTCAATAATTACATATAAACAGTATAGTCTGTCCTCAACGAATCTAAAAAGGGGTCTGGAAACGTCTCTGGACCGACTAATAACCAGCAATGTTCACAGCATCGAACAGTTGCCCATAGGAACATCTGATGACAAATGTCCAACGGAATTCATAATTAGAGCACAACTGTCCACACAGCATAGCACCTGCCCACACAGGATATCAGAACATCTGTCCACACAGGACATCATAGCATCTGACCACACAGGATATTAGAACATCTGCACGACCACACAGGACATCATAGCATCTGACCACACAGGACATCATAGCATCTGCCCACACAGGACATCATAGCATCTGTCCACCCAGGATATAAGAACATCTGCACGACCACACAGGACATCATAGTATCTGCCCACACAGGACATCATAGCATTTGCCCACACAGGACTGTAACTGGCGGCTGTCTTGGCCCACATATGACTGTATTCTATATATGTATGTACTCTGACTGTGTCACATTCGTTCCCGCCATCAACATGGGGTAGAACTGCAATAACACAAGACTACGTCTGACTATGCTGACTATATAGTCTATAATGATTCATAAATATTTATACACAGTATTTCTTCTATTTCAACTATTTAATAGTTGAAATAGAAGAAATAATAAATAATAATTATTTGTGTATATACATTCATCTGCCTACATACAGTAATTGATATGAATCTATTCACTAATTCTAGTCTGAATTCCATGTAATTCATTGACATATTGACAAGTTTCGCTTATATTTATTAAATACAAACTAAATTCATATAACAGTTGATATCTTATAGCTATAATAGAGATATATTGAACTGTACTCATATAGCGTTATAAGCATATACATTTATCGATAAATATTCGCCTCAAATATCAAACACAACAGATTTCGGGCATATAATTGCAATATAAAGGCACAAGAAATGATTTCAAACTTACCGCAAACTGTATTTTGCATTGGCTAACCCCATATAAGCAATAACTGACTGCCAAAATTTACACCGCTGTTCTCGCTTACATGTATATTTTCCTTCCGGCGAGACTAATTTCAAATATTCGAACTCGGATCCGGAGAATCCGCATTTATAGAATTTACAGCAAATAATTAAGAAAATAAAAGTACAATATTTAGACCAGATAATACCTGATTTCTTTCATCGAATACATGTACAAATAGTTCAGACATTGTTTGATATATACAGAAATGTAAAATATACAAAAGTATGGTTGGGACTGTGACAATGAGTGAGTGTCTTTTTGACATTTTATAGTCACTGCAGTTTTTAATCATCAATTTTTATTTCAGGCAAAGGGGAAATCTGACCACTACTGGATTGTAGGGGTGAATGAGAACCCCCAACAGTTACGGTGTATTCCCTGTAAGGGATCACGATATCCTCCAGTCCTTCCACGCCCTGCTGTTTCAATACTTCCCTTCCAGGTGCCACTGTGTGAGATGAACACGGAGAAGAGTCAATATGAGGTATTTTTACATTAAACCCAATACTAATATAATATCATACTTACTAATTAATGAAGCACTTGCTAAGGTATTCTTTCTAGGTCAAGAGAAATATTATCATATAGAAGAAATACTCTATTGTAATAACAGTCATATTCACTCTTTCCTTGGTGCAGACTATGGATTATTAAGGACACATAACATTTTTCAGATATGTTTATATTTGATAAAGAAGCAACTTTGATTGAAAATTCATTGTGGATGTTTCTACGTTGATTCATAAAACATTGTTTTACTTGTTTGAAGGAAACATTATGGAGGACTCGGCTGTTTGGTCAGCATTTTGACCAGTGGATGTCACAAGGGTTTGAGTTTGAACCTTCCAGGAAAGTTGATAATCTCAAACCTGCTCAAGAGGCCCTGATGAAATTGTTTGCTGTATGTTGATTTTTTTTTTATCATTGCCAATGTTCCACTGCAATGGTGACCTTAAGTTTTAACTACATTATTGCAGGCAGTAAATTCCATTTTTAGTTGCCTCTAGAACTTTTGATGAGGCAGGAAGTTTTCTTTTTTTTTTTTCTTTAATCATCCTGTCCTTGGCATAAGCATTGATTTCTGATATTAAGGTTTTGATGCAAGAATTGAAAGGTGTCGGTAAATCTTTTTATCACAGTACAAAGGTACTGTTCAAAAAAATGTATTTCGATACATTTTGGACTTAATATCATATCTTGTGATAGGCTTTGGTGCAAGTGTTAAAAGGCATAAGTTAACAATTTTATGAGTGTAATAGGTTATTGATAATCAGTCTCTGGGTTTCTATTTGGGTAAACAATTTCTTTCCAGCATTAGCATAATTACCTTTTTTGGAGGGGAGGGAGGGGTGGGAAAACAAAAAATCTCTTGTTTTCTGTTAAAAATTGCAGTATGTTACTAGAAGAACACCTCAAGCATAACTCACAATTCTTTTGTTTTGTTACCATTTAGTGTGGCATAAACAGACTGAGATATGTAAAACAAAAATTGTAATATACTGTATTGGATGGTGTTTTCATTGACTTTCTTAAGTTGAACATCATGAATTGAAATGTTTCATAGCTTACAGATGATTTAGAAAAACAACAAGTATTTGATTTTTTACTCAAATTAGATCTCTTATCACATTATATGCAGTTTTAACTTTTTTTGGAAAGGGATGGAGGGGGATTCTATTTGATAAACCAGTGTTGCCGGGGAAGGGTTTGACCGTTCTTTTCAATACTCTGTCCAATTTTAATTCCATGAGAATTGGCTGTTCTTGATGAGTATTTATAACATCACAGTGACAATAAATTGTTTTTGATATATATATACATATATTATATTTGATCCATTACAGTTGTCAGCTCGATCTGACCGTGAATTCAGAGCCTTGGAGGTGTGTGAGATGATGCCAGAACAACATACACTTCAACTAGCCATAAAGTACGCCAGTCGCATCAAACATATGCACTTAGCAGAACGCATCAGTGAGTTGGCTCAGCAGAAGGAAGAGGAAGCAGAACAAGAGGAGGAAGAAGTACCAGAATCTAGGTAGGCAAGTTTGGAAGTATTACAAATTTGTTATTAGTTCATTTTAAAATCAGTGTCAGTTTGGTGTGAAGGTTTTTTCGTGGAGCATATGAAGAGTCTTGGTGACAACATCAGTGCTAAACTCAAAATTGTTTATTTAAATTATATGTGCTATACACAGATATATTTGATGTCTAGAAATGAACCCACTAATATCTAGTGTCTGTAGGGCTGTACACAGTAACATCTAGTGTCTGTAGGACTGTACACAGTAACATCTAGTGTCTGAAGGACTGTACACAGTAATATGTAGTGTCTGTAGGACTGTACACAGTAACATCTAGTGTCTGTAGGACTGTACACAGTAACATATTGTGTCTGTAGGACTGTACACAGTAACATCTAGTGTCGGTAGGACTGTATACAGTAACATAAAGTGTCTGTAGGACTGTACACAGTAACATATAGTGTCTGTAGGACTGTACACAGTAACCTCTAGTCTCTGTAGGACTGTACACATTAACATTAGTGTCTGTAGGACTGTACACAGTAACATATATTGTCTGTAGGACTGTATACAGTAACATATAGTGTCTGCAGGACACAATTGGCAGACTGTCATGTAGTCAGTGACAACATTATAATTTATTTCAGCTATAACCCTGCAGTTGTGTGGACTAATAGAAATGGTTACATGGGGTCACGACCTAGGGAACAGAGTCATTTAGTACAGGATGAGGAGGTGATGGATGAAGGGGACGACGAAATCAATATGGAAGAAGAAGAAGAGGCAGAGGACAGACCATCAGGTACAGTAATAGTCATTAATGCTGCAGATTTGTAGGTGTTTTATTGGTAGAAGTTCAAAATGCCATCAGTCATTTCTATCTGTAGATTTGTTTTGCTCAGTGACTGTGGGCCAAATCTGTTCATCACTTTAAACACGGATGACGAGTCCTTGGATTAGACTTAAACATCCGTAGCCTGTAAGGTACAGCATATATACCATGCATATATTGGTATTTTGTACAATTTTCATGGAAATTTCATACTGGGTGGTTGGTTATTACAGTGGTAACACACTCCTCTTTCACCTAGACGATCGGGGTTTGATTCCTTAAACAGATGTGAAAAGGTCACTTACCCAAGTTGATTTTCCCTGAGCACTCTTGCTCCCACAGTAAGGACCAACTGCTCTTCCATCAGGGTCAACAAGAGTGATAAATACAAGCTGATAGCTTGTTTTGCAATTAATGTAAAATGAAAAAAATCATGTGTTAACTTCATAGCTGTTCATTTAGAGTTTGTATGTGCTTTATATTACTGAAATGTAAACTAATTTACACATTGATTTCTCTTAGGTCCTATGTTAAATCTGAAAGCAAAATCGGATAAACCAAGCCGACCTCAATTTATATCATCAGCAAGGTCATCCAACCCTTTCAAGGTAAGATGTTTTATTACTGTGATTTTCCTGTAAATTTCTGGCTATTTAAGATTAGAATTAAGAGCTGAATTTGGTCATATTTACCTCATTGTATCATAGCACCAATTTCTATGCTTTGTCTTCCTGAGATGGTTATCAGTCATGGTAAAAGGGTTCAAGATCACATTTTCATTTGACTACTTCTTCAACTTGATAAACTAATTATGCATGGGAGCAGGGGTGGTCATGTCTTTTAAACATTATCTAGTTTTAGGTCTTGATATAAATATTAAATTTGATAGCATTTTACTATTGAAAAAAGTTGACAGACTTAAGAGGAAAATACAAGGTCTTTACACACATTAGTTAAAACTCTCAAAAATATTTTTCTTCCTTTAACAACTTGCCTATTCATACTTCATTCATTCCTATTGCAAAATTAAAACTGGTCTCATATGATGCTTTCATTACATTTTCTTTGAGTAACTTCAATTGGATACATAATTGCAAGGTTATAAACCTTCATTCTGTATCTAAACCAAGCTTTTAGTTCACTTAATTAGATCAACAGTTTGACAATGAACACTTACAAAAGAATTCATACCCATGATTTTTGTTTTGTACACTAATTAGTTAAATCATAATTTCAGATATCTATATTGTGAATAAGACAATGTTTCTAACATATATATGTGATAATATTAACCATCTTTTAGATGTTATTGAACATAATCTAATCAGTCACAATATTATGTATCTAGAATGTCTTGATGTTTACCTTACAACGGTAACCATCTTGAGTCACAATATTATACTTCAGAGCATATGAAAATTGTAAAAATCATCCTGATGACAGCCGTATAGCGGTAGAAATATGTCAACGTCATATAGATTACAATAAAGAAATAACTGTTTATTGATGCTGAGAATTCTTTATTTCCATATTTTTCTGCAAATTTGAAGTAAAACAATGGCCTGAAAAGAGACATTTTACTTCGATTCTACACTATATTCTCTGTCTATTCATGTTTTCAAATGTAAATGGTGACTTCTATCCTCTGTCGAGAATGATTGCCTTACAGGTTTCTGCCTAACTTTGATTTCGAAATGTGATCAGAGTTAAAATTCTGTGCCTACATGTTGGTACATCTATTGTATGTAATGTTTTACAGATGTCCCAGGAATCACAAAAGACGACACAAAGTGGTGGTACGAAAGGCACACAGGTGTTTGACAGTATGAATCGAAAGAAAGTGGACAAAGTTAAGGCAGCCGATCCCGTAATTATTGGGAAGCCAGGAAAGATAATCGTCAAACCCAAAAAGGTATTTAATCTATTTTTGTTTTGATTTCAGAATGATTTGATCAACTTTATATTTAATGATATTTTGGAATCTTGTCTAATACTAGTCTTACTAAATTGAGTTGTTGAAGAGAATTTGGCTGTATTTAAACTCTGGTTTACACTGCTTTATAGTGTCTTTAATAGGAACATCTACCATGATAAAGTTTGAACAAGAATAGGGTTTTACTAATAGTGAAATTGTTGTTTTTTGCAAGTTTGTTTTGATGCAATTTAATGATATATAACATGTGGTGCTGTTTTATTTTGTAGTCAACACAAGGAAATTTATTTGCAACAAAGACTAAAACAGATACAGCAAAACCAGATACTACGAGTGAAACTCCTGCCCCTCAGTCAAGGTATGGGAGAAAGACAAGGCCTGTCCGTACATGTTTCCTTAACAAATTTCTATTTAAAGTTAGGTCAAGCATTTTATCTTAGATCTATTCCATATGTTCTAAATGTCTAATTCAAATAGAAATTATTCTGAAATCGATGTATTTTCAAGAAAGATTTCTCTATCAAACATTGTTATAACCCAACTTTTTGAAATAGGAGTAAAAGTTTAGGAATTGTGAGATACAGCCTGAATAAGTCCAATAATTACTGTAATTTACTTGAAATTTGATTTTGTTTGTTTAGTAATACTCCATCAGCGTTTGACTTGTGGCTAGAGAAGAACCGAATAGACCTGGAAGAAGAACATCCAGATCTGGCAGAGGCTGACCTGATTCAGACAGGTGCAGAACGTTTCCGGGACATCCCTAGAGAGGAGAAACAGGTCAGTGATGGGGAAAGCATGGTATAGTTGGACATGAAGATGAATTTCAGAGTGTCTGGAGATATTCAATTGATATTTAAATGTGTGAAAAATTATTTAATTTCACATCTAATCACAAAGTTGGGACAAGTAGTAAAAAGAAAGCTGTTCATTAAAAACATGTATAGCCGTTCCTTGCCTAAATGTTTGATCATCATTATTCAATTTTGCCTTTATCCCTTGTGGTCTGAATAACATTTTTAGGTTAGAATTCCTAGTTTGTATTAATTAAGTATAACTTGAAATTATACTGAAAAAATATTTCCTTGGACTTGATCATCATTTGAGTGAATTTATTTTGATTTCAGGTTTGGATCACCAAAGCAAAGCAGCTGAAAACAGAAAATTCAGAAAATGTACAAAGTACAGATAATGCAAGTACAGAAGTTCCAACAGAAAACAAGAAAAGGAAACGAGAAGAAACAGATTCTAAAGAAATTAAAGACATAGCTAATAAAAAGAAGAAGGACAGTTTTTTAGATGGTAAAAAGAAACCCTTGTCACAAAGCACAAACTCTAAACTCTCAGGATTTGCTTTTCAAAAAGAATGAATTACTATTAAGAATAATTCAGGATGATTATGGACTTCCGTGCAGTTTTTTACTGATTACGATAGTGTGGTATGCACTGACAGCAGCTGATCGTGATACCAGATGATATTGGTATTGAGTGAAATAACAAGCCAACAGGACTGAATCATTTTCGTATGTTTATCCACAGTGCAATACATGATATGAAAGTGTAATTATTCATTGATGTGAAACGAGAGGTGGATTACACCTCGGTGATGGAGTTCAGTGATTAGATATTATTGATTAGATAGTGATAATATTTTGTGTTCATGCATACAACATGATAATTGACTGAATATCAGTGATGTCTAGACTAAACTTAAATTTCAGAGTCCTTTGAGATATAATTTTAACTTTGTCCATGTAAAATTATCTCGATTTTCTGAAAATATTAACTGTTAGAAGTACATGATGTGTAAATGTGTTTGTTATGGGTCATTCACAGGGAAGTAAATGTCCCTACAAATGAAAACACTGGTTATTTATTATATAGTAACAAACAAAAAGAAAAAAAATATTATCTTCCACATACAATTTTCAAAAATGTATTTTAACATGTATGAAATAAAGTGCTATTGGAGAGAGCACTCATTCGTGTTTGTATTTATTATGCTTCCTGAAGGGAGAGCATATACATGTCGCTTTGTCTGTCTAGTCAGCTGTTCATCCATATGTCCGTCCATCATATTTTTGTCCAGAGCATAACACAAAATCTATAAGAGGCATCAACAAAAAAATTTACAGGTATATAGATCTTGAAAAGGCTAACAGCACACAGTTTCTTGGTTTGGCCATATTTTTTGTTCATTCGATTATCCCATTATAAAATTTTTAATCAGAATTGAAATAAATCCTTGCTAAAATTGGTCTTGTCATGTTGTTTGAAGTGGACAATGCAGAGTTTTATATTTTTCAGATTAATTTTTTTGCATTTTGTTGGAGATTACTAATTGTAAGTAGTTTGTTACCGTGACGGTGTTGTTGATTTGAAGACATTCGAGTTGTAGTGTTATGTTGGAAGTAAAAGTATTTTTGAGTTTTTAACCATGGCAATCACATCACAGAAATCAGATTTTATTTTTTGATTAACACAATTTTTATTTCTCTACTATTAATGTCATTGTTATGTAGTTTATGAATATATATTTGCTATACATCTAAAGGTGTATTTTTCATAACCAATCTGCTATGCCTGTATATCTCAAACGTGACCAATAATTTCAGGGGAAAAGCAAATTAACTGTTTCCTGCTACCCAGGAAAAGTGCAGTGCACAAGAACCATCACTATCGTTTGCATGATTTAGGAGTTTTTGCACTTTGCTATTTTTCATACTTAAATTTGGTCCAGAATATTACACTAAAACAATGAGATGCATCAACTTGAAATTTCCTAGGTAGGTAGATCTGAACAAGAAGTGCCGTACACAGGAACCACCACTGTTAAGAAAACGTGTTGGATTGAACGTTAGTTTTAGCCTGTTCAATATCAAGTACCTATTATAAAATAAGGTTAGAGTTCATCTTGTCATCTTACACCTCAAAATGTGCCATTCGGGCCAAAAACGTTCAATTTCTTGATCCAGGGACTTGTATTTCTTAGAGGAAGTTGTTTCAGATTATTTTCTCTATCACAACATTTCATAGAACTACTGAACTTGTCCTCAAGTTTGAAAATTACCAATCGGAATCTACAGTGGCGACTAATTGAATGGGAAAATAGCTATTTTTTATTTGGTGAAGCAGTAGACTATGCTCTAAAAGTGAAAGAAAATTCAGATTGATATTTGAATTCGATTGGTCAAGTAGTACAACAGGAAAGCAATGTCGGCATATATACAAATACCGAGGACTTTACCACGCGATAATGGAATGCTGTACAACCGGCAAAGGAACACAAAGACAAGAATCGCTTGGGTTTTACATTCTCAAAACAACCAGTCTTACGAAGCGTCCACAAAATTGATCCACTAATTAATGCAGAAATGCCATATCTTGGACTAATCCTTACTGCTGACTTATTCAAAGTTGAACTTCAAGCACAGAACATCTTTATCAAAAGGATCATTTTTACTCAAACTTAAAACATGCCTTGAATTAATTAATTCTGTTAGCTGAACAATGAATCATCCTTGAGGAAATATTTTTGACATTAACCTATGCCGTAGCCTGAATGCCACGTTTTAATTCATTTGTTCAGAATATAAACATGTATTTGACGCTGTTCTAGAATTATCTATGTATGAAAAGTTCGAATTTTATCTAATTATAGAGCTCGTGCACCTTCCCATCTAGATTTTGATTTTCTTTTCGGTCACTTTAAATTTTCCTAAGTCGCCTCCTTGGTTTCAGAATTTAGGCCTTTAGCATCACTTATGAATCCTAGAAGGACGAAACATTTGTGTGATGCAGTTTAATCCACTGTTTGGCTCTATTGTACACAACTCTAAATTTGTATTTAAAGGTGCCATTCACGTTTGTGTCATTTGTACAATCTTTCAAATATTGCAATGGAATAACACATGAATTTTCATCACGGCAGATTTAGTAGAAGTAGAACCTATTAGAACCAATGTGTGTTTATCGTGTTGAATACATTATTTCATATTTGCCATTAGGGACACGACTACTTGTAAATAGCTCAAGCCCTTATATTACAACCACTATGAAAACTTTTGCGTTTCATACTTACAGTGTCACCCTCATCAGATCACTGACTTATAGAGATGGTACTGAAGTATATAGAGTTCGATATTATTATTAACTCTTCAACGTTGCTATTACCATATATACAGTTTTGTACATGCAAATTTTTCAAGAAATGAAAAGGAATAATAAAAAGCAATGCTTCACAAGCAATTTCCTAACTTTTAATGCAACAACAGTTATATATCATGTGATGATCTTCAACTGCTGGCAATGGAACACATTTCGGCAACAACACCGATGTCCACCAGTTGAGATTGACATAAAATCCTTCTTCTAATCGTGTGTTTTATTTACTGAATCAATAAATTGATGATAATTTTATTCTATTATTTATTTTGTACCATTGCCTGTTACAACGCAGGGATGACTTGCAGCAACTGGTAATTAAAATGATGTCCCGTTGTTATACCAATTCAACTCGGGAAACATACACGGACGATCCATGCGATTTCTGTATGTCAGTTTCTGATTTTAAAGTCAATTGCAACGCAAAATTTTCAAATTTCCCTTCTTAAAACGAAACTATTTGATATGGAAAAAAAAAGAAAACAAAAACCAAACAAACAAAAAATGTACGTCTGCCATCACACTTACGAAGGTAATTCCAAAATGATTTTGAAACGGCATTCAAAGAGTCATTTTCAATGTTAAACACCTTTTAGTTATCACTTCAACATACAAGCTTCTTTTGATGCACAACATTTTTGATAACAACATTTAAGGATTGGTTGTCGGATTTTAAAAGTTGTCTAAAGTAATCAATATTCAATAGTCAGGTAGTAAAGTGGTAATTCTATTATAATTATTTTTTGTCGTTTCTTTGCGGAAGTATTTAATGCAGTAATAAGTTTTTCCATTTTCCATTTGTGAATATTTTTTGCATAATAATTTTTATGATTTTGCATTGCATTACCAACCTAAAGAAAAATCATACCACAGGGTTTCGAGAGATACAGGCCATAATGACCTCTTTGAGGAATGTTCTACTAATTCATGCAATATGTTTCTTGGTGTGTATGTTGATTTCCTTATTGTTTATCACATTTTGAACGTGATATTACTTACCTGAACTGAAAAAGATTAATATCGCAGGAATCACCGATGAAGCAAAAGACCCGTGCTCTTCCGGAACACCTGGTCTTATTCTCCTTGTGCCTTTTCACTGTACTTTTTCAGGAGTGTCATTGTATTTTGTTCCCTTTTCTTCATATCCTAGTTTATTCGAGATTGAATCGGAATTAAACATCTTTGATCATATCGGTAGTCTGTTTAGTAAACTGATACTCTTTCGGGGTCTTTATATTGTTGTTTCGGAGTGAGAATGGAATACATGATTTTATGTATTGGTTTGTATTTATTCATTATGGAGATGTTAGGACACAACTTCTATTTTGGTCAAAATCTTCGGATTAATGTTTTCCAATGGTTTGGAATTCTCATGATATTAGTGTAAGGATGATGACACTTTGCATACTGTTCTTTGAGGAAAAGACATGGATGATGTTAATTTAAAATCTAAAAATGAATTATATTCTTTGATGTTTTAGGCACCGTCCATGTACATGGTTACAATATAATTTAATAATTTGATTTGTGACCATTATTAGTTTTTGCGGGCACTGTTAATGATACCCTAGTGGCGTCACTTACCCAACTCATACGATATGTGCGTGCTGCTTTGTTGGTGATAACGTTTTAGTAAAAGAAAATGTGAATATCCTATGCTTGTTTTATTTCACGTACCTGCATCGAAGTTATACTCAAGGGAGGTACCTTGGCAATCAGAAAACGTTGAAATAGAAGATATTGTGTTAGAATTCACTTTCTATTGAACTGTGTCACACTAAATTAATATATAAACGAGATTGGCTGTATAGGTTGACATACCAGAAGTTAAGTAGCTTTAGCAGGATATTTTCATGAGGAGTCAAAATACTAATTCTAAGTTTTGACCTGTCCCATAACTAAGAGATACATAATAAATTCAGAATGTTGACATTCATAGCATATTTACGTGATTTGTTGCCTATCTTTTTTGTCAAATACTTTCCGTTTTTTTCATTTCAAAGTTATTCTGGAATATTCTCATCTGTTTCCATTGGTAAAGTCTTCTTTTCACCTTTTGTACTTTTGAAGTTACGCTTTCCATTTTAACCCAGAGAGTCATTATCATTCGATTATGTGGTGTTTAAGTCAGGTTTTACCGCCTTTGTAATTCCTTACCTAACAGTATACACACACACACACACACACATATATATATATATATATATATATATATATATATATATTTCGTGTGGTTATGTACCTTAATCAACCAGTAGGCAACTGCATAGGAATCAGACAGTGGACAACTTTTCGGAGACCAGACATTAGAAAACTATACAGCAATAAGACTTTCGACAGATGCAACAGAATCAGACATTGGACAATTGACCGGCAATAAAGACATTGGACAGATGTAGCAGAATAAGACATCGGATAACTGTACTGGAATCAGGTAATTGACAAGTGAACATAATTATTGATCGTAAATAAAAGAACAAATCAAATTGAATTTTCTATTATCTACAGTGAAAATCATATTCGGTAGTGGGAATGATTTATGTGATAAGAAATAACAAAAGGAGTCAGAATCTAGGAGATGTTACTGTTGATATGTGTAAAGCTAGTGATAGTGTTAACACAATTAACATAGGGTTATCTGAGCTTTTCTGTACCTATTACATTTTAAAGAAATGTTAATTGTTGATATATTATGAAACATGAACAAGAGATGCATATATTCCCGTTATAATGTATAAATTGCTACTTCAATAAAATAATGTTCTCCTGATAACATTTTTCATTTATTTTTATTTTTATTTTTTTTTTTCTATTTTGCTTGTTACGATGATCAATTCATAATCGTGTATAAATATTTACTTCAACAGAACTGAAGTACACTATAAGATACAAAATGTATGTTTTGTTTATTCAAAACATCAAAATAACCATCCCCTGTAGCATACTGTTGTCAAGAGGTCAATAATTTGTTTGGTAACAGTTAAAAAAAGTATCGGATCAAATGTCAAAATGTGAAAAAGCTGAATAGGTTTTCATATAAATACCCAGCGTTTAGAACGTAGATCAATAAAGAGACCACACTGTGTATATGTGCGAGTGAGTGAAGTGTTCGATATATTCTATTGCGGATTTTTAATAATGACATACACTGGACATCTGCTTAAAAGTCCAGCTTTTACAGATTATAACATAGTGAAGTCATTGATAGGATTTCTGTATGAAGACTACTAAGTGTGTAACATTTCCTGTTTAAACCTTGTGGATCATGTCATTGATTATTGGTTATTTAACGATGCATAACCGAGTGTATAGTTCGCGCACACACCTGTAGACGACACACATGTACCAGGTATAGACTTGAACGATGAGGAGTAATGATCTTCTACCATAACATTATTATAACGGAGGTTTTATACAGTAAACAACTAATATGACAGAAGAGTAAGTATATTTACAATTGTTTACTCGTTACTTAGTAAATGTGCTTAAAAACAGTCGCTTGGTTAGTAAGTCGGTGTGGTGAGTGTTGTTGTATACATAAACATATTCAGGGGAGGTAAGTGAGAAAATATTGCTTTCAAAGGTGTCACATGAGGAGATATTGAAGTCAACAAATACAAAAGTGAGGATTCTCTACCTGATTCCGATCGACACAAAGTTTATACATGACATATTATGGATTAAGAACTATGACTGTAAACAGAAGTCTACTTGATTCCTAGTTGTGCAGATTCCTATTCTCTTATTAAAAATCTACGACGTGTATTTTAATTATTGCAGTCAGAACACTACAAAATGGGTCTTGCACTCATTTCCCTTTAGTTACAAAAGAAATGTTGAAAAAAAACATTCGACTACATTTAACTTGGTAAACCCTATTTTAATACTTATGCTTTGTATTGATTCTGGACGATTTGCTGCTGAAGTTCTTGGACTGATCACTAATCTTTTAGAGAGAAACGATAATCATTTCAAGATAATTCTATAGCAATGGATATAAATGCTGTTATGTCGATTTGTCTCATGGTACACTGTGTATTTGTTAAATCATGAATAAAGCATGTGAGGGAAATTTCATTATGTTCATCACTTCGTCACTATCGTCCTTCTATCTAGTTAATTCACCTATTCCAGATTTTGGATATGTCACTTGTGTAATATATCCTGGATATCTCCTTTATAATGATAATAATTGTGTACTTCGAACAGAACTGAATTTAAAAAGAACATACATAATGTATGTTTTATATTTAATACATCAAAATAGTCATCCCCAGTAGCATTCTGTTGTCCTGTAAGATTAGGTCAAGATACACGTCACATCGAACTAAACTGAGATAAAACTATTACGTAAATGATAGTCACAAAATAATCACTTCCTTGATACGAGCTTTTTTTTTTATTAAGATCGGAGAGAACTGAGTGATATAGATGTTAAGAATATGTTTGGTCGCAGGATTTAAACTTCACAGTTTGAATAGGTTTTCAAATAAATACCCAGCGTTTAGAACGTAGATCAATAAAGAGACCACACTGTGTATATGTGCGAGTGAGTGAAGTGTTCGATATATTCTATTGCGGATTTTAAATAATGACATACACTGGACATCTGCTTAAAAGTCCAGCTTTTACAGATCACAACATAGTGAAGTCATTGATAAGAATTCTGTATGAAGACTACTAAGTGTGTAACATTTCCTGTTTAAACCTTGTGGATCATGTCATTGATTATTGGTTATTTAACGATGCATAACCGAGTGTATAGTTCGTACAGACACCTATAGACTACACACATGTACCAGGTATAGACTTGAACGATGAGGAGTAATGATCTTCTATCATAACATTATTATAACGGAGGTTTTATACAACGAAGATGACAGAAGAGTAAGTATATTTACAATTGTTTACTCGTTACTAAGTGAATGTGCTTAAAAACAGTCGCTTGGTTAGTGAGTCGGTGTGGTGAGTGTTGTTGTATACATAAACATATTCAGGGGAGGTAAGTGAGGAAAGATTGCTCTTAAAGGTGTCACGTGAGGAGATATTGAAGTCAACATATACCACTAAGATTCTCTACCTGATTCCGATCGACACAAAGTTTATACATGACATATTATGGATTAAGAACTATGACTGTAAACAGAAGTCTACTTGATTCCTAGTTGTGCAGATTTCTAGTCTCTTATTCAAAATCTACGACGTGTCTTTTTTTATTATTGCAGTCAGAATATCTCGAAATGGGTCTGACACTCATTTTCCTTTAGTTACCAATGAAATATTGATAAACATTCGACTATATTTTACATGGAAAACCCTATTTTGATACTTACATCAAATTCATGATAGGTCAATATAACCACATTGTTGCTTAATTAGAAACATTCTTGGTCCCTTCTGAAGATAGTGTTTTCATAGCGTGATGAATTTGAGGTCAAGACACGACACGAATAAAAAAAAATACTGTTCCTCCGTAACTATTGTTTTTTTCTAATAATCTTTTACGTGTGAATGATATTATTTACAGACAAGAAGTAAAACAGGCACCTACCTCAATTATCGGCAAAATTTTGTTACTTGGAGATGCAGAAGTTGGGAAAACATGTCTGCTGACAAGATATACGGTAAGATGATAAAATAAATCTGGAATGAACATCGAACAATGTATAAAGCTCTTTACTCAATACTTCTAAAGAGAAAAGTGTTAATATACCATATTTCCTTAAAAGCAGATCACAGATATAGGCAGTAAACCTCACAACAGATCATTCCAATGTTTTTTTTTTTTTTTCTTTATGAATCTTGATCAATGAAGTTCTTCATATTGCGACATTGTGCTTGTTAGACAAAGAAAGAGCTACTAAAGTGTACAACACTTTCAACTAAGCACTGAAGTCATCAATTTGTGTGATATGACGGAAAGTATTTACCTTTGTGGGTAGAACGATGTAATATAAACTTAATTATGAAATACAGAAAAATAACTATTCTTTCCTGGATTGAAATAAAACTCTAAATTTTTAAATGGAGTTTGTTCCAAATAAGTTTCCTTTTTCGTAAACCATGTTCATGATGATTATTGATAATGTGTCTACCCTAATAGATCGGTAATATTGAACTGTTGATGCCTCAATTATTAATCATTACATTCGTTGTTTAAACCTTATGTAGAACAAAAACTCTAAATGCAATGATTTGGTGTCACGGTCAAAATTAATTTCTTATTTTTTTTGTAATCTATTGTTTTGGATGAAATAAACTCACAATTGACATGTTAACATTGGTAGATCATTATAATGTATGAATATATGAAATATATAAAATTATCAAATTTGGATATTAGTTAGCAGCCTTCCACTGCAAATCATAACGCGCGAGGGTAGAGAACATTTCCTATTAGCACTTTTATCCTTTTTTGAAACAGGTTACACAAACTCGTGGTTGTTTTGTATGTTTTCTTTCACTTTCATGATTTTGCAGAAGGCCGTGTTTTAGTAACTTTTACGATACAACTATTTCAATTGAAATGTGGAAACCACTTTTATCAAATAAATGTACTTTTTTACATTTTGCATTTTAGCTCCAGTTACTCAGTGTCCATCTGCATTTTATTCTCATCATTGTACATTTGCATAGATAATGAAGATGACTGTGATTTCAGGAAGCTTGTCCAGTAAATAAATGCACGGAGAAAACTTTTACGTTGTTATCTTGTCACGGTAATAACAGGATGATATCTAAAATGTAAAATGCAGCTATTGAACGATTGTCAGTTCAGATTTATTGTCAATACGATTGCAACAGAAATTGACCCCCTTCAATGTATCTGTCACTCAGATTGCATCAATATTGTCAATAATACATTCAGACGAATATTCAAGGATTAATGCTTCTGGTTTTTTGGGGGTTTGTTTTGTGTCTCAGATTAATTTAGTATTTCATATTCGTTTTGTTCAACGTAATAAATTCTGATATCAAAACACTACAACAAAATTTAATTTGTCTGCTTTATCTATTTCTATTCAGGACGATAGTTTTTCGACAGAGTACAAAACGACAATCGGAATTGACTTCGTAAGTAAACATTTATCTAACATTAATTCTTGTCTCATTTTTATAGTTCACGTGGCACACCTGTCATTCTGTTATATCTGGGTCTGAATATTTGATAAATGTCTGGAATCGGAATGCTTTTATTTGTCCTCGGATAAATAACAATAACCTACATTCTCCGTTTGAGAACATGACATTGATTTCATGGATAGAAGAAAATTCGTATAGGAATGTTAGTGATAAATCTAAATGACTTTTTATGAATATACTTGGCCTTGAATTAATGGATTTTACTATTTTTCAATAAGATTTAGTTAGCATGCCAATATTTGTTTCTGAACTAATGATCTTCTCCATTGATCAACAGACTTATAGTTAGATTGACATTTATTATGCCACCAAGAGATCTACATAAAGGTCAACAGATTAAAGTACTTCGCTATAATGACATTAGATAATTAAAAGATCCAAATCCATTTTCTTCTTCTTCTTCTTCTTATTATTATTATTTTTTTTTTTTTTGCTGATTAGATTATATTTGCATACAAATTTGGACTCAAGTACATACAGTATAGCAACATAATGAACCAAACTGCATCACACAGCTATTTTATCTATTGAGCTGTTGCAAGATGGTCGAAACAGATGTATGAGGCAGTGGAATACATTATTTGCTCAACAGTATCTCATCCGAAATTTCTAGTCTTCAAAGGTCTCCCAGATAACCCCATAGCTTATATTTTTTTTGTATATATTGACATTGGGTGACCCCAGGGACGTAGCGAAGTTAAATGAGAAAAAAACCATCAAAACGCTTCTTCTCAAAACCCAGAGATAAATATTCTTCCTGGAAATTTAACAAGAAGCTATGAAGCTTTAACAAATTCATATTTAGTAGGAAGAGGGATTTAAGCTTACTACAGTTTAAAGAAACATTATTTCCGTATGCGTATTTAGCTTTATTTCCGTTCGAAATCATTCATTGTATATCAAGACATTTTGGTGGTATGGACTTATTGATATTAGCTGATCCCCAATAGCTGCTCAGCAGTGCCAAAACATGTCTTTTTTACTCAAACCTAAAATATGCCTATAATTCAATTCTCCTTTTAGCCGAAGAATGAATCATTTTTGAGGAAACACCTAAACCAATTATGCGACGGTTCGCTCATTCCTTTAAGACAGACTGAGAATACTGTGAAACATACATGATAGGGATATTTTATCCATGCAATGGTCTGTATTTACTGACCTATACCAATACTCAAGCCTGAAATCTGTGCTCAACCTAACATACTTAACTTGTTCCCGAAATTTCTTCAAACCTTTGAAACATATAAAGAATTCAGATTTATCACCAAATGTATATGATCCTTAGCACAGAATGTGCATTTAACTCGAGAACGATTTGAAGAACACGGACCCAAAATTTGACCGACTTTCCTTGTAATTATAACTTTATTTTGCAGCGAATAAAGCGCATGTTTTTGTCGAATCAAGTGGAAATGAAGCTTCAGGTCGTAAGTATATATCCTGAAAGAGCTCTTCTACTTAGTCTGTCTAGTAACTTAGACATGCGAGGAAATCTTTGCTGTAGAATATGTTTACATCTATGTGTTATTCTCATTATTAGTGTTTTGTTGTTATGACGTATTTCCTTCAGAAAAAATTAACATATCTTTGTTCAATAGATCTATAGGCTATCACTACATCAACAGCAAGAGTAATTGTAAGGCATACTGTTCTTGTAGAAGTTGATGACAATGAACATGGATGAAAAGATAGCTGACGAAAATCGAGACCGTATAATGAAAAAAATCTTACCACATAATAACTTTCAATTGAAAATTGCGAAAATTCAAAGGAAATGAAAAATTGTTTTTATTATATTATATTATAACTTCTCATTTTGTTTTAAGTCTAGATATCACTTAGCATCACTGACGAGTCCTAGAAGGGGAAAAACAATTGTATGGTGCAGTTGAATTCATTGTTTGACTCTGCTGTATTTAACTCAAACTTTGCATTTAAAGGTGCTATTCACTTTTGTGTCTAGTACAACCTTTCAAATATTTCATAAATAACAGCAGATTAACTAGTGTCGACGTATTTGAAGTATACATTTAGTAGCTTGATAGAAATGCAAACACATCAGAACCAGTGTGTGGTCATCGTGTTGAATACATTATTTTATATTTGCCATTAAGGACAAGGCTATTTGTAAACAATACAAGCACTTATGTTACAGCCAATAAGACAATTATATATGACGCGTCGATGACTACAGTATCGCCGTCATCAGATGGATGACTTATGTAAATGGTGCTGAAGTATACAGAATACGATATTATAATTAACTCTTTAGCGGTATTATTCCCATATTTACAGTCTTGTACATTAAACTGGAAAATAGTATAAAAACTGCCTATCGATTTCGATTCGGTAACACTTTGTCTAATGCCTGGGCATTGTTCCCTATTGAGGAAATTGGAGTATCACGTCCAAAAACTCGACGACCTTGCAGTCATCAAAAGGATAGAGAATTCCTTTTATGTGTTGTTGTACCAACACGACCGATCATAGAGTGACAATGCACTCTATGTCACAGATCCTGATGTAAACGCACACAGCTCCATTTCCAAAACATCATAGACTTCCTTAAAATAATATTAACTTACCTACCCAAAGAAAACATGTTTCACAATACTTGTAAAGAACACCAAAAAATTTAATTTCAACTGATGATACGTGGGTACTAGGTAATCAATGTCATATGAAGTTTACTTAATGCTTGGAAACTTTGGTTTTTACTGATGCAGTGGGATACAGCAGGTCAAGAACGATTCAGAAACATATCCAAGGCTTATGTGAGGGGGGCATCAGCGATTTGTTTGGTGTATGATGTCACAAAATCGGTAAGAAATCAATAATCTTCATTCTATGTTAACTTTATAAAAGCTGGAATGTGTGTATGAACATTCTTCTTTTTCATATTTATCTGTGAATCAATTAATTTAACGTCGAAGATCAATATAATGAATGTTAATTGAAGTTGTTTTTTTTCTATTTTAGAGTACATTTAAAAACCTACACAACCATTTATCCCCTGAAACGGAAAATCCAGAAGTAGTGAAATTCATTGTTGGAAACAAATGTGAAAAGGATGAAGAACGGCAGGTGACATTTGACGAAGGAAAGGTAAAAGTAATATGCTCGTTGGTTCCTTTGTTGTATACCTTGATCTCATTTGAGAACATGACATTACTTACTTTGATTGACCAAGGCTTACATGGCAGGTGTTGTCGATGAAGCAGAAAACGCTTACTCATCCGGACACCTGGTTAATTCTCCTTGTACTTCTTCAGGAGTTTGAGTGTAAATCTTTCTTTGTTCATATTTTGCCCTGGTTTTATGGAATTTGAAATTGAATTATGATTTTGTTGCCATGTTGGTTTTTTATATGGTTTCCAATGTAATCAATATGTGATATATAGCCATCAGTATACAAAGCAAATTCTATTCTTATGGATCAGATTTTGATCGTTGCTGCCTGTAAATATTTTTGGTTGGTCGCAACACCTGACTTCCTTGTACAACATTTAATTCTCAGTGTAAATCTATGTATTCTGATAAACAGGAAAAAATGAATTAGTCTACTCATATTCGCATTTATTCATAATGAAATCGATGAATAAATAATATATTTTCCATATTTCAGGCATTTGCGGATGAAAAGGGATACGAGTTTAGGGAAGTTAGCGCTGCCAGTGACACAGGTGTGGATAATCTATTTATTTCCGTCGCCAAAGCGATTTACAGACAGAAAAATCCGGGATCAAGTCTTGGTTGGACAGGGTCGGCATCCAAATTTTTCAGAAAGTGAATATCGGGAATAATAAAAAACAATACCTCACACATTACAGAAACTTAACGTAAGGCTGATTACAAATTGCGTATATTGATAACACAATGATCAGCACGGTTATACGACGAACACGTGTATTCACCAGCGGATAAAAGAACAAATTGTAGTGTCCACATTGATTATTGCAATTATGATCTTAGTTTTTGTTTACTTTTGTTTTTTATATAACTACCTGAATGATCTCAAGTACTATGTTGTAAAAACTTCATGTCATTGTCTTATTCACATCAAATTGTAAATAAACACAAAACCCAAGATGGTTTCTGTATTGTTGTCTATATTTTATAGGCTTGGTTGAAACGAAAGTGTTCAGTATGCATTTTCGTTTGTTCATTCCTAATGCAGACAGAAACTATATTTTGCTTCACATTTAGAAATGTAAGTTTGAGGGAATAACACTTCGAATGTGAAGACAGATTCACTTGTCATGACCTACAAACTTCACACGAAACACCTACATTCAAAAGCGGCAATATACGTTTACTTATATTAACAACAATATAATCCTAATACGTGTAAATGATATGACGTTTAAAATAGGAACAGGGATGACATTGACGAAACCACCTGGCATTAGACAAGTCCAATTTCATATTACAGAAATAATTGCAATTTACCCAGTGTAAACATGGTGTCGACAACAAGACTTCTCCATAATTTTTACGTACTACTTTCTCTTGAAACAAAAATTCGACCACAAAACTTCACCATGGTTTCTAGTCAACTAGTTTCTTTTGAAACAGTGTTTTAAAATCAGCTGTCAAGTTATTTAACAGCAATTTTGGAAATGTGTCTCTGTTGTTTGTAAAAAGAATTGTAGAAAAATAACAATTAGAGCTGAAGCTATTTGGAGGCATTATGTGCCTCTTTAGTTCAAGGGTATGTTTATGATATCCTATGTGATCTATTACCGGAATGGTGTATCCTACGAGTTCCAAGGGTAACAAATGGAAAGGGAAGTAACACTGGTTTCATGGATGCATATCTCTCACGTTTAATAACTTTGCTCGAGTGCTTTCGACACGTGTAAACTGTTCTTTTACTCAGAGGTGGAATTCGAGACTGCCTTTTGCGTTTTCAATGGGTAGAACCCAGCTAGAGAATATCAAGAACATTTCAATGTTTTAAATATAAAAACAGTGTATTTAATAGTTCATTTTGGAACTTACATCTCGAAGAAAAGTATTTTGTTACAAAGACAATTCGTTTGGAGTGTTAGGAATACAAAAGAATTTCAATTCAGACACGACCACTTCGTCAAAATAACATTTTAGAAAACATCAGAAAAACTAATCATGAGCTACTCAACTCAGCCTAATTACCTTATCATCTTTGATCGTGCGAAGTCTCGGGAAATTTTGATAAAATTGATATGCTTCATCACCATGCCTGGTTCTGTATCATCAAACCTTAGAAATAAACACTCTCATTCAGTTATAAAACGCATTGGTAATCAACATTTTCGGAATAAACGGAAGATCGATATCAGTACTTTAAATACAAGCCCCTTTGCTAAAGAATGTTAATATTGTTATGTTTTATGTAACTATTCGTTAAAGGAAAAGCTGCCGAAACCAATTATCTCAATTTACTGTTAAAATGAATTTTCAAGACACTGTTACATTTGAAACAAATAATCATTTCAGGAATTTTTTTCAGCTTGAAGACTGAATCATATATGAATATATTTATCGCTTTGTTACCAGGAGAGCAGGCGAAAAGATCTAGTGATGTATATAAAGTACTTTGTCATCTCATCATTGCGAACAAGAATGAGATAATATATTTTCGGTCTTCAAATTAGACTACGACGCAAAACACTCGAAATTGTTGAACATTGTGATGATGATGAAAATTGTATGGATATCAGTCTGAAAGCAAGTGTTTTACTCTTCTTTGGTTAGCCCGCTAGCCGTTGGACTTGATCAAGAAGAGCATATTGACAGGTCGTTCTTGCGGACCGTTAAACTGGAATTTGAAAGCTGTGGTCTTTGTTCGATACATGCAAATGCATCCATTATGTTTTGAAGATTTTCCGTGAAATTTGCATTTACTTCGTTTTATTATTATTATCAATTTGCTAATTGAGAGAATGTGGCGATGAGAAATCTAAATAATATTACTAATTTTGAAATCCTCGAGACGTTTTATGTGCTGATGGGATAAGTGCGTATGTTGTGATTCAAATTACTTCACACTTGGTCAAAGATAATTAAGTGTGCATGTGCGTGTTTGGCTGATAGTGGGAGGTTGAGCTACGAACTGTCATCCCGCACTGGGTTCTCCTTTACAATGAAGCTTATTGTATGACATGGGCAACCGCAGTAATCCGGCCGATACAGAAAAAAGTCAACCAACACCATTCTAAAATTGATTTGTGATATAGCTAATAATTTGGTTGAAGATTTCACTCAATAATTGTCAGTATCTAAACTCTTAAACACTTATGAATCAGAATCAAATATACATGCACCAAAGGTTTATTTGTTTTAAGTTTATTATAAAATTAATTGCAGTATGTGACTTTGATTCGCGAGGAAGCGAAAAGTTTAGGGTCAACAAGCTTTCACATGAATCAAATTCGGTGACATTTTCTTTTCAAATTACATTATCAATACTCATGTTTTGGATATCTTAGGAATGATTGACATGGGAATGCAATGAAAAATGAATTTATCCGTATTTAATATTACCTGTACCATATATATATCATGTTTTCATCAGCGACATCAAGCATTTTAGTCAAATTTTAACTGGACGATGTATTTGTTTTCTTATTAAGCTGAATTCTAGGAAGAACGAAATGTGTTGTCATAACGTCTTCACTAAATTCAGATTTACGCGTGGAAAACAGTTATATCAGAATGCTGTCAACATTTACTGCGTTTTAGAAAACATCTTTGCAACGCAAAAACACATTGCCATTACTTTTACTGTTGTAAGAAAGCAGTTATAATAGCAAAAAAGGTGAAAATTGTGAAGTGTAGATACACCTCGCCTTGGTCAGAGAAAAAAGGACATTTCACAACTGTAATTAGCGGATACACCTGTCTAGGGAAAGAGGAAAGGGACCATTGTGAAGTGTGGATACACCTGTCTAGGGTAGTAGAAATGGATATCGTACAATTGTAAAGAGCGGATTCGCATGACCAAGGAAGGAGAAGAACGATATCTCACGATTGTCTGGATACACTTGCCCAGGGTAAGAGAAAGGAGATACCTCGTATCTGTAAAGTGTGGTTAAACATGTCCAGGGTAATAGAAAATTGATCTCTCACAACTGTACAGTATAGATTCACATGTCCAAGGTAAGAGAAAAATGATCTCTCACAACTGTACAGTATAGATTCACATGTCCAGGGTAAGAGAAAAATGATCTCTCACAATTGTACAGTATAGATTCACGTGTCCAGGGTAAGAGAAACGTGATCTCTCACAACTGTACAGTATAGATTCACATGTCCAGGGTAAGAGAAAAGTGATCTCTCACAACTGTATAGTATAGATTCACATGTCCAGGGTAAGAGAAAAATGATCTCTCACAACTGTACATGTCCAGTATATAGATTCACATGTCCAGGGTAAGAGAAAAGTGATCTCTCACAACTGTACAGTATAGATTCACATGTCCAGGGTAAGAGAAAAGTGATCTCTCACAACTGTACAGTATAGATTCACATGTCCAGGGTAAGAGAAAAATGATCTCTCACAACTGTACAGTATAAATTCACGTGTCCAGAGTAAGAGAAAAATGATCTCTCACAACTGTACAGTATAGATTCACATGTCCAGGGTAAGAGAAAAATGATCTCTCACAATTGTACTGTATAGATTGACGTGTCCAGGGTAAGAGAAAAATGATCTCTCACAACTGTACAGTATAGATTGACGTGTCCAGGGTAAGAGAAAAGTGATCTCTCACAACTGTACAGTATAGATTCACATGTCCATTGTAAGAGAAAAGTGATCTCTCACAACTGTACAGTATAGATTCACGTGTCGAGGGTAAGAGAAAAATTATCTCTCACAACTGTATAGTATAGATTCACATGTCCAGGGTAAGAGAAAAGCGATCTCTCACAACTGTACAGTATAGATTCACATGTCCAGGGTAAGAGAAAAGTGATCTCTCACAACTGTACAGTATAGATTCACATGTCCAGGGTAAGAGAAAAATGTATCTGTCTCTCTCACAACTGTACAGTATAGATTCACGTTTCCAGGGTAAGAGAAAAATGATCTCTCACAACTGTATAGTATAGATTCACGTGTCCATTGTAAGAGAAAAATGATCTCTCACAACTGTACAGTATAGATTCACATGTCCAGGGTAAGAGAAAAGTGATCTCTCACAACTGTACAGTATAGATTCACATGTCCAGGGTAAGAGAAAAGTGATCTCTCACAACTGTACAGTATAGATTCACAGTCCATCTCACAACTGTACATATAGATTCACATGTCCACTCTCACAACTGTACCATTCACATGTCCAAAGAGAAAAATGATCTCTCACAACTGTACAGTATAGATTCACATGTCCAGGGTAAGAGAAAAGAGAAAAGTGATCTCTCACAGAAAAATGTCCAGGGTATCTCTCACAACTGTACAGTATAGATTCACGTGTCCAGGGTAAGAGAAAAGTGACTCTCACAACTGTACAGTATAGATTCACATGTCCAGGGTAAGAGAAAAGTGATCTCTCACAACTGTACAGTATAGATTCACATGTCCAGGGTAAGAGAAAAGTGATCTCTCACAACTGTACAGTATAGATTCACATGTCCAGGGTAAGAGAAAAGCGATCTCTCACAACTGTACAGTATAGATTCACATGTCCAGGGTAAGAGAAAAGTGATCTCTCACAACTGTACAGTATAGATTCACATGTCCAGGGTAAGAGAAAAGTGATCTCTCACAACGGTACAGTATAGATTCACATGTCCATTGTAAGAGAAAAATGATCTCTCACAACTGTACAGTATAGATTCACATGTCCAGGGTAAGAGAAAAGTGATCTCTCACAACTGTATAGTATAGATTCACATGTCCAGGGTAAGAGAAAAATGATCTCTCACAACTGTACAGTATAGATTCACATGTCCAGGGTAAGAGAAAAATGATCTCTCACAACTGTACAGTATAGATTCACATGTCCAGGGTAAGAGAAAAGCGATCTCTCACAACTGTACAGTATAGATTCACGTGTCCAGGGTAAGAGAAAAATGATCTCTCACAACTGTACAGTATAGATTCACATGTCCAGGGTAAGAGAAAAGTGATCTCTCACAACTGTACAGTATAGATTCACATGTCCAGGGTAAGAGAAAAGTGATCTCTCACAACTGTACAGTATAGATTCACGTGTCGAGGGTAAGAGAAAAATGATCTCTCACAACTGTACAGTATAGATTCACATGTCCAGGGTAAGAGAAAAGCAATCTCTCACAACTGTAAAGTATAGATTCACGTGTCCAGGGTAAGAGAAAAGTGATCTCTCACAACTGTACAGTATAGTATAGAGGGTCCAGGGTAAGAGAAAAAAAGTGATCTCTCACAACTGTACCACATGTCCAGGGTAAGAGAAAAGTGATCTCTCACAACTGTACAGTATAGATTCACATGTCCAGGGTAAGAGAAAAGCGATCTCTCACAACTGTACAGTATAGATTCACATGTCCAGGGTAAGAGAAAAATGATCTCTCACAACTGTACAGTATAGATTCACATGTCCAGGGTAAGAGAAAAGTGATCTCTCACAACTGTACTGTATAGATTCACGTGTCGAGGGTAAGAGAAAAATGATCTCTCACAACTGTACAGTATAGATTCACATGTCCAGGGTAAGAGAAAAGCGATCTCTCACAACTGTATAGTATAGATTCACGTGTCCAGGGTAAGAGAAAAGTGACTCTCACAACTGTACAGTATAGATTCACATGTCCAGGGTAAGAGAAAAGTGATCTCTCACAACGGTACAGTATAGATTCACATGTCCATTGTAAGAGAAAAATGATCTCTCACAACTGTATAGTATAGATTCACATGTCCATTGTAAGAGAAAAGTGATCTCTCACAACTGTATAGTATAGATTCACGTGTCCAGGGTAAGAGAAAAATGATCTCTCACAACTGTACAGTATAGATTCACGTGTCCAGGGTAAGAGAAAAATGATCTCTCACAACTGTACAGTATAGATTCACATGTCCAGGGTAAGAGAAAAATGATCTCTCACAACTGTACAGTATAGATTCACATGTCCAGGGTGTACTGTATAGATTCACATGTCCAGGGTAAGAGAAAAATGATCTCTCACAACTGTACAGTATAGATTCACATGTCCAGGGTAAGAGAAAAGTGATCTCTCACAACTGTACAGTATAGAAGTGAGAAAATCGATCTCTCACAACTGTATAGTATAGATTCACGTGTCCAGGGTAAGAGAAAAATGATCTCTCACAACTGTACAGTATAGATTCACATGTCCAGGGTAAGAGAAAAGCGATCTCTCACAACTGTATAGTATAGATTCACGTGTCCAGGGTAAGAGAAAAATGATCTCTCACAACTGTATAGTATAGATTCACGTGTCCAGGGTAAGAGAAAAGCGATCTCTCACAACTGTATAGTATAGATTCACGTGTCCAGGGTAAGAGAAAAATGATCTCTCACAACTGTATAGTATAGATTCACATGTCCATTGTAAGAGAAAAGTGATCTCTCACAACTGTACAGTATAGATTCACGTGTCCAGGGTAAGAGAAAAATGATCTCTCACAACTGTACTGTATAGATTCACATGTCCAGGGTAAGCGAAAAATGATCTCTCACAACTGTACTGTATAGATTCACATGTCCATTGTAAGAGAAAAGCGATCTCTCACAACTGTACAGTATAGATTCACGTGTCCAGGGCAAGAGAAAAATGATCTCTCACAACTGTACAGTATAGATTCACGTGTCCAGGGTAAGAGAAAAATGATCTCTCACAACTGTACTGTATAGATTCACATGTCCAGGGTAAGCGAAAAATGATCTCTCACAACTGTACTGTATAGATTCACATGTCCAATGTAAGAGAAAAGCGATCTCTCACAACTGTACAGTATAGATTCACATGTCCAGGTTAAGAGAAAAATGATCTCTCACAACTGTACAGTATAGATTCACATGTCCAGGGTAAGAGAAAAATGATCTCTCACAACTGTATAGTATAGATTCACGTGTCCAGGGTAAGAGAAAAATGATCTGTCACAACTGTACAGTATAGATTCACATGTCCAGGGTAGGTGATAAGGAAATATATACCACGGTAAAGAATGAGAATAAACCGGTCAAGTCTTACAGAAACAGATATCCGTCATATTTCTTTTCCTATATCCTGATAAGATTGAATTGGCTTCCCCCTTTTTTGATAACCTATTTATCACTATTCAGGATATATATGGTGTATGTATTTCTTCTGCCTATGACCTCGACAAATACGACTTAAGCTGATCATTACTTAATATGTAATCTTTTAAAAGTGAAATATATCAGGTGCGATATATGTACAACGTGCAACATGTGTATTAGGACTGACATATGAAAATAACACTACCGTAGTAAGTAAGTAACGGCGATTAATAGATTGTGTTTCTCTCAAGTAGGAGAGCTTATCAGATACATGTACGACAATGTTAAAGAAATGAAAAAGCAAGAAATAATGTATTTTTGATATAGAAAAAAACAAAAAACCAAAAAAAAAAAAAAAAAAACAATAAATCATGAACGCCCCCGACATGATGATAGTATTAGAGTAACCTCTAATTTTCTGGAAGTTATTGCAAAATTAAATGGTATTTCACATGAAAAGGTGATGTGGGAAAAAGGGATTTTTTTCGTATGAGGCCAATGTATCGCAGAGTATAATATCATATTGCGACTCTTTGCCGATTTTTTAATTCAATTTTTTTTTTCAAATTTGTATACTGCTCAATAAAAGACTGAACAAAAACACATATGTGAATAGCACCTTTTAGTAATTAAAGAGTAGAAATTATTATCCAAATTAGATAAATATTGTTACCAACTTGAGGTTGAATTTGAAATATATATCATGATTGTGGTATAAGTCAAGATGTACTTTACCTATGCTTCCATTCACGTGTGTGTTTAGATAAAGTTTTTATAGCTTTATAAATAATCCCATCAAAAGTTTGAAAGACTTGGATTCAGTGTCAATATACCAGTCAGTTGACACTCTGTAACACTTGTACAATGAATACATATATTGATCACTTAAAAGTGTATTTATGACGAAGTGATTACCACGACAATTATGTTGACCTTTTCAAGCTTAAAGCTCACTCCTCATACGTACGATTGTATGTGTACCTTATCAATAGCGGTCTTGTCTCTACCCCGGTCCCTGATCACCCCTCGTCCGTCGTGGACCGATCCCTTTACACAATAGTTGCTACGACGCTTTGTGACTGGGATTACCCACTTGAAGGGTTGGAATGTACCTGGCGACGACAACATGGCCGTACCTGGATAGCATACCTGTAGACTTCTGTGTGCAGGTGTAAAAGTCCCACAGTGGCAATGAACACAACGTTACTACAAAGCATGTGTAATTTTTCCGGATCTATTTTACCTGTATATATTAAGGATACAAAAATGGGATTTAACCACACGCAAGATTTATAAAGGACACCGGTACTGATCGTGGAAGTAAATGTGTAAAGTATATGTGTGTTGAATCACGGTTCTGTACATTAATAATGGCGTTTTATCGTCAATCTATGTGATTTTTTTATTTGTTATTTGGATTACGATCCGTGATGTCGGAACTAGAACAGGGGGACAGTCTGGCCAGGCCCTATACAGTAGGGACCTTTCAGACCCGACTCAACGAGTTCCAACATTTCATTAAAGAAATCACGTTCCAGGATGTAGAGGCAACACCTGAAGAAAGGCGACAGATGATTACAGGTAAGAACTGACAGGTAATCAGTACAGGTATATCAAAATGATATAGTGATATAAACTCGCCGAAACTTATTTATTGACAAGTTAACACTTACTTGATGTCAATTACAGGTGCTATTACTGTATCACTATGTACAGTGGACTGGTATATATGATATCATACCCATCAACAAACGATAAAAAATGAGATGAATGATCACACGGAACTCTTACTTACTAATTAAAGCACACAGATTTATTAAACAAAAGAACCGATGACAGCTAACTTAACATTAACAGTATTTTGAGAATTCTTGGTCCCAGTCGGCAAGTTGCTTTGACATAAAAATGTCATAAAGAACCTAAATCTCTACAACACAGAGGTAACGGGATCTCTCCTTCCCATTTACCACCTAGAGGTAACGGGATCCCTCCTTCCCCATAACCACCAAGATGTAACAGGATCTCTCCGTTCCTATCACCACCCTGAGGTAACGGGATCTCTCCTCCCCCTCCCCCCCCCCCCCCCCCCCCAATCAACACCCAAAGGTAACGTGATCTCTCCTTCCCCAACACCTCCCAGAGGTAACGGGATCTCTCCTTTCCCTTTACCACCCAGAGGTAACGGGATCACTCCTCCCCCCCCCCCCCCCCCCCCCCACCATCAACACCAAAGGTAACGCGATCTCTCCTTCCCCAACACCTCCCAGAGGTAACAGGATCTCTCCTTCCCCATTACCACCAGAGGTAACGGGATCTCTCCTCCCCCCCCGCCCCCCCAACCACCAACACAAATTTCATATTTTGTAAGGCAGAATATGTTGTATTTCTTTCTTTAAATATCAATTCTTCATTTCAAACTTGTCACTTCTTCCTATTAGTTTCAAGAACAACTGTGGTTTTAGTTAATTTTGTGTTATCACATAATATCCTACTTTTAATATGTCATAGATAAACTCAAAACCTTATTTCCTTCTGGGGATATGTACGTTAAAGTCCGGAAAGTTAAAAATGACATTAAAGATATATATTACATGGTCAATATAGCACGACTCGCTTGGTGGCATATTACCATATTTAGACATATCTAATTATGGTAAAATTCAATAGACACGGCCGTTTAAATGTGCTAAATGTATTGAAGACCTTTATTAATTTAAAAATACAATTTGTAAAGTAGTTTCTCAGTGTCGAGTGTCGATTTGTATCTCGAATATGTATTGAAACGTAGGCATCACATTATCAGAGTTTGGTCCTTCCTATGACATCTATAAGCTATATAATTCGAGAACATCATGTCTCTCCGCTGAAGAATATACATCATCCAAGGGGCATTGCTTAGAAAATCTAGAAGCCTTATACCTGTGGTATATGTTGCGTTAAGTAGCTTGGTGATATCACCGGTATGTTTTGTTTCGTGGCTACTTCAGTGACGGATGCATTTTTACATATTGTCTATCAGCCTGGTATCCCTGGTATATATCTTGTTTAGTAGCTACATCAAAGACGAGAACATTGTTTATGTTGTCTAGTAGTCTGCCACCCCATGTATATCTCGTCCAGTAGTTACTTAAATGACTGGTAGACGGTATATTGTATGTATTGTCTAGTAGCCTGATATCCCTGGTATATATCTTGTTTAGTAGTTACATTGTTTATATTGTCTAGTAGTCTGCCACCCCACGTATATCTCGTCCAGTAGTTACTTAAATGACTGGTAGACGGTACATTGTTTGTATTGTCTAGTAGCCTGATATCCCTGGTATATATCTTGTTTAGTAGTTACATTGTTTATATTGTCTAGTAGTCTGCCACCCCACGTATATCTCGTCCAGTAGTTACTTAAATGACTGGTAGACGGTATATTGTATGTATTGTCTAGTAGCCTGATATCCCTGGTATATATCTTGTTTAGTAGCTACATCAAAGACGAGAACATTGTTTATATTGTCTAGTAGTCTGCCACCCCATGTATATCTCGTCCAGTAGTTACTTAAATGACTGGTAGACGGTATATTGTATGTATTGTCTAGTAGCCTGATATCCCTGGTATATATCTTGTTTAGTAGTTACATTGTTTATATTGTCTAGTAGTCTGCCACCCCACGTATATCTCGTCCTGTAGTTACTTAAATGACTGGTAGACGGTACATTGTTTATATTGTCTAGTAGTCTGCCACCCCACGTATATCTCGTCCAGTAGTTACTTAAATGACTGGTAGACGGTATATTGTATGTATTGTCTAGTAGCCTGATATCCCTGGTATATATCTTGTTTACAAGTTACGTAAATGACGGATACATTGTATATATTGTCTACTAGTCTGATATCCCTGTCATAAATCCCGGTAAGTCACTACCGTTCCTGACTGTGTCTTCTTGACAGCACTATCTGATGTTATCAAGTTCTCACAGGTCGTTAAGCTGTACATACCCGAAGTAATCCCGGGGTCTCCTCCTGACAGAATCAAAAAGCGAGTCAAACAGGAGAGAAAACAGCCTTATCTAACTTGGTCGAGTGATCTTTCTCAGTAATATCACCCAATAATCGTTATATCGAAATTCAAATGTTAAATCTGTTCTGTAGTTTTGTATCGTCACAGCAGCAATGTGACTATGCCTCTAGTCCTAACGAGTTGAGTTGTTTTTTCCGTTTTCAGAAGTGAATATGCTGAACGTTGTCCTAGTTCGCATGTTTGTAATGCGTGGGTATTGCTGTCAGAGATAAATGATCGATTATATAATAATGTTGTTCAGATTTTATATTTTTATTACAACCAATACACACACACTTGATCAACACTTACATCAATACAAAATTCTGAAGTGTCTTGTCTGTTGATTATTTGTGAAACATTCAAATCACAAGTATCGTGTTTTAAGCGTCTCTGTAAATCTTATAAATATGAACGCAATATGAGTCACGAATTCTAAAGTATAATGGATATCATAAACCTTAAGGTTCTGGACAGGAGCTTATAATCCCAAGAAAATGAAACAGAACACTCGTTTGAAATCGAGAGAGTTTAGTTCAGAACAGAAATGCTTTGAACTACCGAGACCATCATCTGACCTTATCTATTGATGACGTCAAAATAGTGTATTTGCTCGTGCGTCATAGATTTATGACCTGGCCAAATAACAATATACTTTACAGAACACGCCGTCCATTTTGATAAAAACGATCTTAATCTTTTCTGAAGTGACTCTATTTGTTGTCCGACTCGGTTTTACTATTTTACCGCATACTGAAATGTTCCTTACAGTCGCTGGTCCCCCAACTGATACCAGATATAAACTCAGTGTCTGAGGATATGGTCAGAAAGCAAAACATGTTTACTAAAATACCACTTGCTTGTAATTTATGTTGACCCGAAACTGGGCAATGGCTATCCATGAACTCACAACGAATTGTATCTTGGTCATTATAAATCCAGGTACATTGACAAGTATATTTTTTCACTGTCTGAATTTATTGACTGACAAACTGTCAGAGATTCAGTAAAATAGTCACATTCACAGACTATGTAAACGTTTGTTTTGACGTCTCTGTCACAATTTCGGAGTTTGATGAATGACACGAGTTGTTGAGAATGCTCAGTTGTGTGGAATCAGACGACATCAGTAAGTTGTTTAAATAGACGGTACCTGTTCGTATATAATACTTGTTTTCAGTGCGAAACACTTTCCCTAATATGCGTTTCGACCGATCGGAGAGAATAGGTTTAACAGCCGTGTAACTTTTAGAAAATTGACACTGTATTGTCACAATAGAGGTCGTTCGGTAGATAATAGTATGGAGAAAACGGCGCGGATAATTATAACACTTAAGTAAAGTAGCAATGGTAAATAGTCCACTCGCCATGTATTATTATTGACACGTCAAGTCGAGACAAAATCTATTGCCACTTTTAAGTCGAGATGAAATCTATACACTATCTATAACAATGCCTACGTTTTAAACGTCTATAATGCTGAGCACAGACATAATATGTTGTGTGTACATTTTTATTATGTGTTTACATTTAAACTGTTTCACAACAGAACAATAAGAAGGCGGACGACATTTTGACAAATTGCCATGCTTTGGTAAATAGTCTGTCTGTTTTTTAAAATCGCGATGAAGTTTTCATTGTCGATGAGGGAGTATATCAGTGTTCTATACAACAATAACAGTTTGTATTCGTACAGCAACCGGACAAAGGAACTGTGCAGGCCGATTTTTTAACATGAAATATTTTAATACTTTATTACGATATTTGAGACAGGGATGTTTTTATGAAATAAATGCACACATAGCGACCAAACACACCAATAACTGTGTTCACATCAACAGCTTAGTGTGTCAAACATACCGTATGAAAATGTGTTATTAAAATTGTAACTACGTTATTAAACGTTATATAAGAACAAAATAGTAGTAAAGTTAGAAACGAATTCTCCTTTTAACGAATGTTGAATTGGAAATGATATGATAACTTTGTACATAGCGTATTTGGACTGACCAAGGTTTACATGTCGTCGATGAATCAGAAGACGCTAACTCTTCCGAAACACCTGGTCTTATTCTCTTTGTATTTTTTCAGTGTAAATTTTTCCATTGTTAATTTCTGCCCTAGTTTTATGGAATTTGAGTTTGAAGTATGATTATGTTGACATGTTGGTAGTTTTTGATGTTTTTTTTTTTTTTTTTTTTTATAAAACATCAGATTGACATGGATGTAAGTAACATCTAATGGTGTTTACTGTGGAGTAATACATTCTATACAAATAGAGATATGTAATAAATAAGTAATTCGTAAGGGAAGGATCATCCGCAGTGATATATAACAAGGCTCCTTAAAATGATAACTAACATGTGAACATAACACCAGGAGAAAAAAAGACATAGATACACGATACAAGCTACAGAATATACATATATCAATGAGTCTACAAAATTCATGGTTTTGACGGTTAAGAAAAGTCATCCAAGCAAATATATATATTAAAATAAATTACCTTTGTCGCCTCCTAGGCTTCAA